ATTAAAGAATTAGAACAGGAAAGAGGCGAGGAGATGGTTTTAGAATTTGAGCCTGACGATGATAGCAAAAATGGTAAATATGTATTTCGGTATACATATAATAATGTGTGTTGTCAGTTTGATACCGGAAGGTATACAATTATAGATGGTAAAAAATACGATATCAAAAACGTTGAGAAAGAATCAGAAGTCAAATATTACACATTGACAACGACACATAAACAAGACTTAACCAATGGCTTTAGGTATGTTAAAGAGCTACTCATGCAACGACATAATTTTAAAATGCATAAAGATTATAAAACATTGAAAAACAACAATATAAATGTGCATAGTGTTAAAACTGATGCCTTCATTATTGATAGGAAAAATATTGACAAGGCCAAAACATTGATTAAGTTTTCAACCAAAAGGGGAGGATGGAGAGCTGAAGACAATAAACAAGTATCACCACCGAGCGATATATACAAAATTAAGGTTAATGAGTTATCAGAAATTCCGACTTACAATAATGTAAAAATTCGTGTTAAAGACGAATACGACACCAAAAGCATTTGTGAGCAAATTGTGTCGTGTCATCCGGTTTTACTAAAAGAAAAACTGGCTGGAAGCGGCAAGAGTTATATAGGCGAATATATGAAGAATCTAGGTTATAATGTGTTATTCGTATGTTCTAATAACAAGCAGAAGCAAGAAACCGAAGCCGACGCCGTAACATTAAACAAGTTTTTCAGTATTCCAATAGAAGCTGGAGAAAGACTACCGACATTTGACCATTCTGATTATAATTGTATTGTGTTTGATGAGCTAGGTATGGCGGGCAATTATATTTTGAACAGAGTTAGGGAGTTTAAGGATACGTACCCAGAGAAGATAATTATAGGAACTGCTGACGGGAAGCAGTTGAAACCTATAGCTGATTTAACTAACACCCAGGACCACGAGACATATTTAAACAACTGTCTTAATCAAATATTTAAATATAAGATTTATCTTAAGATATCTAAGAGACTTAAGACAGAAGAAGATAAAATTAAATTGAATGATATATATAATGACATTTGGAAAAATAAACTGTCCATTAAGGAAATAGTAAATAAACATTTTGAAACTACAAGCGACATCGTGGAAGGAGAGCATAACATAGCCTACACTAATGCTAGGTGCAAATGGGCGAGCAAAACCGTAAGAAATAATTTAGGAAAGACAGATAAATATGAAATTGGAGAGCATGTGATATGCAGAGTTTATAAAAAGGAAATGGGGCAGGTGTTTAATGTAAATATTACTTATGAAATTATTAGTATTGATGATTGGAAAGTAGAAATCCAAGATATCAAAAGTAAAACTATATTCATGACAAACACCACGACTTTAGACAAGCACTTTATACATGCATATTGTGCTACATGTCATTCGTCTCAAGGGGCTTCTCTAGATAAAAGCATTACTATACACGAATGGGATAAATCACATTTGGTCAGCCGTGAGTGGATTTGGACAGCCCTCACGAGATGCAGAGATATCAATAAAGTCAAGTTTTTCAAAGCAGACCTAGATGATACTGACTTAAATGAAGCACAATTAACCAGATATTTAGAACATAAGATTAAACAATATAAATTACAAGACATGAAAGCAGAGAGAGAGATAGACAACAAAAAATATATTGATGTCAAATGGTTATTTGACAGGCTTAATACCAGATGTAATAAATGCAGTTCAGAGTTTGAAATAGAAATAAATAATGGAGTAATAAATAGCAATATGACAGCCCAACGAATAAACAACGATTATGCCAATCATAAGGAAAACTGTATATCTTACTGTTTAAACTGCAATCGCCGGGAAAAATAATATCTATCTTATTTTATATGGCATCTAAGCAAGATATTATTAATAATGTTTATTATGATAAGGGAGGCTTCGGGTCAAAGAACCGCACTTTACAAGAAGCAAGAAAAAAGGATAACACAATAACTATAAACGATATTAATGAGTTTTTTAGGAAGAATGTAGAACAGAAAGCCAAGCCAAGAGGACAGAATTCATTTGTAGCTCCTAACGCATATTATGAGTTTCAAATTGATTTATTTTTCATTAATGATATCCCTAAACAAAAAATGAAAGTTGGCATGATGTGTATTGACATATTTTCTAAGTATATGGTTGTTGTCCCGCTTATGTCAAAACAGCCAGCGGACATTTTAGCAGGACTGATGGAATGTATTAAAAAAATGGATGGAAAACCCAAACTAATTTATATTGACGACGAAGGAGCTTATAACAATCAAAGTGTTATAGATTTCTTGAAGGGTGAAAAAATAGAGTTGCACAGAACCAGAGGACACCCAGCATTCGCGGAGAGGGCAATAAGGACGTTTAAAGATAGCTTGTATAAGAGGGTTGAAAACGATGAGAAAAAAGGAAAGGCTATTCAATGGACAGACTACATACACGAGATTATATTAACTTATAACAATGGAATAAAGCACACTTCGCACGGCTTAACACCGTCAGAAGCAAGAAAGCCTAAACACCAATTAGAAGTGAGTTTAAATTTAGGTGTGAAAGCCAAAAGAAATAGAGTTTATCCAGATTTAAATGTAGGAAATGAAGTTAAGATATTCAGGAAAAGGAGACCAAATGAAAAGGAGAGAGTAGGAGTATGGACTAAACAAACCTACAAAATAGCAAAGATTGAAAAGAAGTTAGGACAGGAATATTATTATATTGAAAATTATGACAGGGCATTTTTGAGACATGAGTTATTAAAAGTATAAATTTATTTCTTGTAAAAAAATATTTAAAGAAATAAAAACTATATATATATTATAATAGAAATGGTGGAAACCGAAATCAATAATTATATCAATAAGAAATGCTACGAATGTTGCCACTTTAAAAAAGAAAATATGGAATTATATAAATTGAATTTACCTAATGGAATAGTTAATAATGTTATTGATTATTCAATGGATGAAGAAGATATATGCGAAAATTGTAGAAGATGGAGACGATATCAAAATATAATAGAAAATTGTTTGGCGTTTAAAAATATAGATGAAAGAAATGTTGAAGATGAAATATTGATATTTTTAACTGTGTATGAAAGACCACCTTACGATTTTGTTAAACAGTTTCTTAAAATCAGTAAGAAAAAGTATGAAATGATTAACCACATATTATGGATGTTGATTTATTATAGTAAACCCGGCGTTGATGTAAAAAGAGTCATAAAATCATATATTGAAAGTGAACAGTTTAATGTTAAAAATACAGTGAGAGATATTAATCTTATTTTTAAAATGATGTATGAAAGAGGTAAGATATATCAATTAAATTATTATCCTGAACTTAAATTATAATCATAATATAATAATAACATGTAAAATATTATATGTTATAATTATATTTCAATATGTAATTATATTTCTTGTAAAAAAGTATTTAAAGAAATAAACACTATATATATTACAGTGGAAATGGTATTTAATTATTCAAAGTGCGAATGTTGTACAACTAAAAGGAATGATGTTAATATAACATTGTATAAGTTATTACCTGCTAATCTGTGTAGTAAAATAAGTGAATATGATGTATATTGTAATCAATGCTGTATAACAAGAGACCTTGAAAAGTTTTTTGTTGAAGAACATAAGGATAAGGGATATACAAAGTTTCAATTACAATTGAAATTCTTTATGAGATATCAAAAACAATTTCCTGTATGTTTTTACCATAAAATTGCTAGAAAGTCATTTGAAAAAGAAATTGACGAGTTCTTTAATAATAAAGATTTAATTAAGAGGTTTGGAGGGACAAACGCAATTAAACCATATAAAGCATTTGTTAAAAAAATTCGAGACATGTTTGAAGCGATTGATTGGCATTTATTAAATAAAGATAAAATAAACGAGGTCTTGAATGAATTTAGAATAACTAAATATCATGTATGGTCTTACTACAACACCAAATATCAAGTATGGCTACTAGTTAATTTGTTTTTCTGGGAATATATTTATTCAAAAAATAGGAAAAGACAATATCAAATATATAGACATTGGTGATATTGATAAATATGTAGATTACATATTTGAAGACATTTTTCCTGACTATAAATGTAACCCATAATTCTTAATCATACTATAATAATAACATTTATACCCTTATATGTTATAATTATAATGTAAGTATAGCGTTTTATATATTGAAGATAAAATCCTACAAGGGACACCACGCCTAAAAAAATATATGATAAAAGTGATGAAACGAAGGAGGGGAGTGATGTTGTTGCTGTTCTATTTTTTGTCCGAGAAATGGACAAATCGTTTTTAGACAGTTCGAAAAAAAAATGATGACACATATTTTTTGCAATATATTTTGCAAAATCTATTTTTTTGAAATGGATGAGGTGAGGAGATTGAGGAAATGACATTTTGAAGGGTAGTTGGTGAAATGAATGAGGCGAGGAGGAAGGAGACAAGGATGGCGAAAATTTTGGAAAAATGATGAGAAAAAACGGATGAGATGGACAGAAAGGAATGTAGAAAAATGATGAAAACAAATAAGGGTAGAAGATGGAAGATGAAAAAAAATGTAGGGGGGGGGGGGGGTGTATGTATGAAAGCAATTTATTGCTGGGCAAGGCCCTTGACTACTGAATCATGTCAAAATCTGACATAAGGAACCACCCTAACCACCATCAAAGGATTTGACCAACAAGGTGAAAAGGTTGATTTGCGTTGGGCAAGTGAGTCATAGAAGTTCCTGTTTTATGAAATGATCGCCCAAAGTTGAACAGTTCTTCACAACCCTTTGCACGGTAGCAAAAAAAAAGTGAACCAAACAAACACTTGCCCCAAGAACAGTGAAGAGCCGGTGTGTGACCCCCGCAAAAAATCGAACAGCTCCATGGCAGAACAGTTCGTCTCCAAATGGGGGGACTTTCTACGGTGCTCCTTTGGCGCCCCTTGAAAAAATCGGCTCCCTTCAAACAATCAGAGCGTCTGGGAGCACCGAAACCAGCGTTGCTTCCTTCCCACCCCCCCGCGCCCGGCACGCGCAAGGCAATCCTGCGCACAGACGTCGCCCTTCTCGTAGCGCTCCAGCGCGTAGCACAGCATGGCCGGCGGGTCGAAGCTGCCGATGCTGAAGATGGCCTGCCCGCTTTTTCGGAGCGTGCGACCCAGAGGTGTCCTTTTAGAGGATATAGATGGATTGCCCTGGTAGATGAGAAAACACCACCAGGTAAACCAGGGCCATCCATTGTTCGACCAAAACGAATCAAAAGGACACCTATGGTGGGACCCTCCCAATTTTACAGCCGGAACCTGACCACCTGCGGGATGCGTTTTGTCGATCAACATGGTCCAAGCCAGGACCCAAAGATCAGGTTCCGGCCTTTCGTTGGTGGGACCCGACTTTTCATTGGTCCAACCAACAACAACTGATTTTTGCACATGGGCAAAGCAGAGTTGGGGAGGAGGGGGGGGGGGGGGAGGAGTTGGCAGGCGCCCCTCACCGTGGTGCCTTTTTTAGGGGCAAGGTTCTGTTTACAAAACCGCCAGCTCAGTATGAGTTTTGACATGGAAATGCAACCGTTGATGTGCATTCTCTACATGTGGATTCCCGGCCACCTGCCAATATTGAGCATCCGGCCCGTCTATCTAGCCAGTTGTTCGAGGCTTGGACGGGGAATTCCTGTTCTTTTAAAGGGAAGCCAAAGAGATCACACACATCACACATTCACACACACACACACATTCACACAAAAAAAAGAAAAGAAGAAAAATAAGAAAAAAGGGAAGAAGAAAGAGAGAGGAAGAAAAAAAGAGGAAAAGAAGAAGAAAAAAAACGGACCGAAAAACGCGTGTCACCCGCCCGCGGCCTCCACACTCTGAGGCACCCGTTGCACGAACTCGATCTTCTGGGTGCCCATGACTCTGCAGCCGTCGCATTCGGAGACCAGGTGCACGGCCGTGTCGTACTGGTACGGGATCCAGTCGTTCCTCGGCCGCGCAGAAATGCGCATCTCGGGGTCTCTGGTTCCAGGTCCCTCCGTTGGCTTTTTGTTGGGTGCCCGGGAAAAATGGGAAACTATTGCCAATGGTGATAGGTTCCCTTCTTAACCAGCGGGGGGAAATAAAACGGAAGTTTCGGGAGCTTCCCCAAGCACGGTGCACTGGTGCACATCCCCGATTCAGATTCAAAGACGACTACCCTGCGCACCATGATTCTGGTATTGTGACGTGTGGTCATTCAACCCCCCCCCCCAAAAAAAAAAAAAAACAGGACCGCTACCTTTCCTGATCACCCTTGAGCAAAAAGTTGAGCTTTCTGTGGGGGGTCTACACTTTCAAACATTCAAGGTTAAAGATCCAACCTACAATGTCCTTACATAACGGGTGCGGATCTATTTTGGGATGTTTGTCCGTTTTACTTTTGGGATTGTTTTGTTTATGTTTTGTTTCTTTCTTTCTTTCTTTTCGTTTTTCGTCCGGGCCAGTAAAATGTCGTATTTTGCAGCATTTTCTCGAACAAATTGACGAATTGTACACTAGCCTGTCAAAATCACCAGCATCGTTTTCAACATCCCCTGCATGTCCAACCAACATCCCTAGCATCACCAACAAATCGTGGGTAACAAATCTAAAAAGTAGCTGGCGGGTTGACGGGGTCGAAAAAATGATGATTCCAATAGGAGGGCATTTCACTCGCTGCAAGGCAAATCTAAAAAGTAGCAGGGGGACATAGGGGTGCAATGATTCAAGAAAGGGTGCGAGAGAATATAGAAAGCACCGGGAGGGTTGGCGGAGGTGGCTTCCCCTATGATTTCGAAGAAGTGCATACATACAAACATACATAGTTTACATAGATACATAGACTACATAAAATGTCGTATTTTAAAGCATTTTCTCGCGAAAAGAATGCTCGAAAAAGTGATGAACCAAATAAGGGTGCAATTAAATCTCTGGAACAAATCTAAAAAGTAGCGGGGGTTGGGGGGGAGGCGGCAGCCCCCGCCCATGATGTTTGAAGAAGTGATGATCCAAATAGGGGTGCAATCAAATCTTTGCAAACAATCCAAAAAGTTGCGGCGGGGTTGAGGGGGGGGGGCGGCAGCCCCCCCATGATGTTCGAAGAAGTGATGATTCAAACTGGTGATGCTGAGGATGCGGGAAGCCAAAGCCAAAAAGCAATGAACTGGAGAGGAACTGGAAAAGCAGAGGATGTGAAAAGCCAAGGCCACCAAAAGCCGCATAAACCAGCGAAAAGCTGCAAACGCCACCTGGTTTGAACGGGGAATGCAGAGGATGCGAAAAGCCAAAGCCAAAATCCACCAAAAGCCGCGTAAACCAACAAGAAACCAAAAAGCCAAGAAGCCAAGAAGCCAAGAAGCCGAAAAGCCAAGAAGCCGAAAAGCCAAGAAGCCAAAAAAAAGAAGCTTAAAATCAATACCCCTCCTTACAGAACTCCTGAAACGCTCCTGAAACGCTCCCTCTTAGGCAAATTTGGATACCCCTAGCTCCGAGTCCGGCTCCCTTCCAACCACTAGCAACCAAATGGTGGTTGATCAATATGTCTGGTCCCCAAACGACGGCCAACTTGGTCCCATGCGGTTGAAAGTCCTCATGTTCGGTGGTTTTCTTTCGTTTTTCTTCTTTTGCCGGTCATCCCATGCCCCCCCCCCCCCCCACCCCCAAAAAAAAGTGGCTGCAGCCTTTCGGGATGCCTTGGGGCGGTGGCTTTCCTTTAAGGAAGTCCATCCCCCCCCCAACTCACCCACCGGTACCATCCAGGCAGCTGTGGGCCGCCCACGAAGAGCACGTGCTGAACGCCTGGGGTCACACAGCCCATAGCCTTCCTTTTGGCGTCCGGGATTGTGTGTGTTTTGTTGTTCTGATTGGTATTGTTGGGAGATGTTGTGTTTGTATGTGTTTGTTTGTTTTGTTTTTGTTTTTGCAAGTTTTTGTTTGGGCAGTGTTTGGGGGCCAAAAAGGGGTTACCTCCAAAAAGGCACTGAATCAGAGAGTGGCCTCTTTTTGGCTGCCGAGATCAGTCAAGGCGACCATCAAAGTCTGCGGTTCAACAGCCAAACTCATCCTCCCGTGGTTTGGGACCCCCTATTCTTACAAAGCAGCATGGACGGCTTGCTCTCTATCTTCAACCGCCACCAAAAAAAAAGTGGTGGGCAACCTCGCAACAGAGGTGAGTCCATACCCCTTAGCTTGGCTGCTACAAAGAGACTCACATCACCAGAAAAGATCCGTGGGCCTCTCTTCTTTTGGATTGCCTTTGGGCTCGAGGGAGGATCTGTGCATCCCTCCTTAGGTCCTTGGGGTCCCTTCCACTCCCAGACCGGCTGGCGCTCGAGAGCCGAGGCTTTCCCTACAGCCAACCGTCGGCCGCTCGCAAATCGATCCCTCCGAGCTTTCGCAGAGGAGCTGTTGTTGGAGCTGGGGGCAATCAGGTACAGCGCGATGCAGTCGTCCCCACCTCGGCTTGAATCGGCTCGAATCGGCTCGAATCGGCTCGAATCGGCGCGCCAGCCAGGTTTGGTGGTGGCGACGGCGTTGAAGGGGCAGCCAAAGGGAAAATCACGTCAATTCCCCAACCAGTTTGGGGGGTGGGCCTCATTTTTGGAGACCCCAGTGCGTTGAACCCTCTGTTTCAAGAAAAAGGGGCGCTGGACCACAAAAGGAGCCCGTTTTCCGTCGGAAAGGGGCTCAGCCCCTGGGTGCCCAGAAATAGAACATCGGGTCACCTTCCCGGGCCACTCAATATGGAAACAGGGCAACTCCAAGGGCAAAAGGTCAAAAAGTGTGCGTGTTGGGCAGCTCAGACCAGAAATTCCGCCATTTTGACCGGAGCCCGACTTTGAGAACCCACCTCTCGGCTCTATTTCTCCGGTGCGGCACACCACACCATCTGCTTGGGCTTCTTGATGCGCTCGATGTGGGCGACATCCTGAGTCAAGAGACTTTCCACCACCCCGCAAATTACGAAGGGCCCGAAGGGATAGTGCCGGTGTTGGGGCACAAGCCCTTCATATAGTGGCCCAGTGGTTTTACGCCCCATGTGCCAGGTGGGATGCCTGTCACAAACACTTATCATCTCCCAAAACCTCACATCATAAGTGTTTCGTGCATTTTTGAGGGCAGCCCTGTTGGGTCTGAGGGAAACCAGAAGGGAAACCCAGCAATTTAGGGGCTGTTTCACCACCCCTTCCCACCCTTCCCTGCGCCCAGCGTCCAGGATCTTGAGCTCATCGCTCACCGCCAGGACCTGTCCGGAAAGGCACGAGCTTTGGTGATTTGGAGGATCTGGGCTGTCCTCAGATCCCCCTCTAAAAGTTTAACTTTTAGTGGGTCAAGTGGAAAAGGCTAAGGGGATGGCTGGGAGCCACCAAGGGATGTCACTTTCATGGAGTGCTCCATGTTACATGTTGACCCCTGATTCATATACCCCTGTTTATTAATATGGGTTCCGGTGTCCCTGGTTGTAGTGGGGAATCAGACCACTATTGGAGGGGGGAACAACCCCCATATTCATAAACTGGGTTGATTCATATGGGGTGGGAGGGGTAACGTTAAATTGCGTCTGAGTCGGGAAAGAGGGGACAAAACGAACTTGTAGCTTTTAAGGGGGCTGAATCCTATGGGGAGAAAAGGGCTCGCCAGTGTTGAGCTCATGTTATATACTCCCCTCACTGTGAATAACGCTGGTGTTGGCTTTCATTGGGTCCACACAGTGGTGGATGCCCCGTTCGCCATATTGCAAGTAGAAGAACAAGTTGGAACTCTTGAAAATTGTGGCAAACTTACCCGTGGTTTCGTGGGTGGGTTGGTTTACTTGCAAAACGCCAGGGTTCGCATCCACCGCATCGACAAAGAGGGGCTTTCGGGGCAGCATTCCGCCTTGAAGACGCCCTTGGTGCTGAGACACGCCAGGAGCCGGCCGCTGCTTGACAACGCGAAGGCCATAAACGGCCCGTCAGTGAGGCCAATGTCTCCTTGGCACTTGACTGGTTTGCTCGATTGGGTACACTAGGGTGAAAGCAAATGGCACAAAATGGCGCCAGTTGGGGTTTGTCGTTTGGTCATCTCCTTCATTCGCCCGAAGATGTGTGCTGCACGCTTTTTTGGGGGGATTCGGCCGATGCCTGTCATATTGCAAGTAAGGGAATCGGGAGACTACCGATTTATCCGTGCTCTCTTCTGGGATCGGGGCATCCATCCTTGCTTGTTTTCACCCACCTGCTGTAAACAAGGCTTTTGCTTTCAGGGGCGCGCCTGCCAGAACCCTGGAAGCGTGGAATCACCGCAGCCACCTGGCCCTACTGGGCCCGAGTCAAGTGGTGACCCGCCGAAGAAACTTTGAGAAGCCCTCAACAGGCTTACCTTACGGGCAAGTCTGACTGCTGTCCAAGTTGCTCACGCTATGCCTGCGGCATTCGGGGAGGGCCAGATTCAATGCAATTGGCAAGTATCCGAGCAGCGCAGAAAAACCTCAGCCCTTCCCTCCCCCCCCAAAGATTCTGCTCCCCTTAAACCGAAAAACGAGGCCATGTTCAAACAAACCTCCTGCCCCCACAAGTCTACCACGCAGCGAGCCCATCGGCCCTATCCCCAGCTGGTGCCTGTCCACCATGAGAACTGGCCCCTCGGCAGTGCCCACAATCACCTGCACATCCTGGCTCCAAACACGAGACGCCCTCTGCCGCTCCGCCCCGCGCGCCATGGATACTTAGTCTTTGCAGAGTCCAATCCCGAGAAACCAATACCCTAAACTTGTTCAGTGTCCACCCATTACCCCCGGAGCCTGCTCAGGAGCCGACATGCTCTCCAAGGACCCTGCATACATTTATTTGCTTTGCGGAGGTGGTGCGAACGGATTGCGTCCATCATAGTATGGCTCCCCTATGAATCCGTGGACCGAGCCAGTTCGGGGGATCCAACAAGCACTCGAAGCCCTTGACCGCAGGCGCCGCAGGGTCATTGCTCAAGGTCCCAAACCGTGGGCGCCCAAACGAAACACGTGCCTCAGTCCAAACACATCACCTCCCCTTTAGGGTACATCCCCTATCTACCACGCCTTCAAACCACTAAGAAAACAGGGAATCTCGACCGAACCTCATGTCACGAGTGTGTGTCCAAGGGGGGCCCAAAAGTGAGCGCTTTCCCTTGGTTGCACTTGACACCACCCAACAATTGTCACAAAAACACGCACCCACCCACCCACACCCACACACACACACAATGTAGTACGGACGTGCTTGATCCAGCGGGCCTCCGGAGACTCCGTCCCCGGAAGGGCGCAGATGCACAGCGGCGCCTCGGTTTCGAATTTGGTCGCCCGCGACTTTCGCCGGCGACCAACTTGGGCGCCCCAAGCCACTTCGCCCGGTTGCACCCATGGGTGGTGAAAAAGACATCCATGGGCGCGTCTGTAAACTAGGCACGCCCCCCTCCAAAAAAAAAGAAAGGAAAGAAGAAATGACGAGGCGGCGCCCTTGTGGCCTCCTGTAAAGCCAGCCAAAACAAAGACCCTCCCCATACTTTCGCGGAACGCGGCGATCGGGTCGGCGAATTTTCCACCGAAGCGGCGCTGAGGGTCTTGAGGTCCGCGAAACGTGCGCAGGCCTCGGATCGGTCGGTCAAAAATACGCACCCGAAATGGAGCCCTGGCAAATGGGTTGAAGTAGACGAAACCTGCGTAACCCCAGGTCTGGAATTTTGAGCCGCACCGAAATGGAACTGAACATGGAAATCCAGGCGGACATCGAAACCCAAAAGGAATCTACGGCTGATCCCCTCACTCTGGGCTTCTGCCGAGCTGTTTTGACACAAAGCCAGTAAGCCACCCCCAGCCGCCGCACCGACACGTTTCCCCACCCACTCGCCATCACTCGCCCGGGCCCCCAGGCATCCTCCGACCGCGTCAGGGAAGTGTTCACGAAGAGGCTGAGCTTCCGGGTGAGCAGCGCCTTGGGAAAAGCCGGGGCGGCTGAAGCGGAAGTCCGACCCCCTGACGAAAACATGACAACACATGTCCGGCAGAGAGAAATCGATTCCCTTCAAAACCAAAAGGGAAAACCCCTGTCCAGTAGTGAGACATCAATTCCCTTTCAAACCAAAAAGGGAAAATGAAGTACATAGTCTTACGCAAGAGTGGGGGGGCGGGGTGGGGGGTCACAAGAGTCCAAATAGTGACCCCGGTGCAAAAGGCACTAGGAGGCTCGCAAAAGCAGACCCAGCATACGCATACGCAGCCAAACCAGCAAGCCAAACTGGCCAGACCAACCAACGTCAACCAAACCAACAAAACCAAACCAAACCAAAGTGAACCAAACCAACACAAAACCAACCCAACCCAAATCCAAATCCAAACCCAAACCCAGACCCAAACCCAGACCCATCAGCTTTGCCCTCCCATGCGGTCTCGGCACCACGCCCTGGGGCCACAGCGACGCCATGATGGCGCCCCCCTCAGCCTTGATGCGCTCGTCCACGGTGAAGACGTGCAGGGGCTCGCACATCACGGTGAACCTGGGCCCAAGCAAGGCAGAGGGGTCAGATGCTTACGCTTTGGTTCCGACCGTTTCTAGGTGGGTGTGGCTCAAAATTGAACAGGAGGGGCAAACCGCAGGTTTTGGGCCATGTTTCCACTTACCAGGGTTCCATTTTGGTACCGGTTTTTTGAGCCACAGCCATGTGGGAATCCCTGCATTTTCCCATGCACCTAGGCACGCCCGACTTCTGATCCAAAAGACGAGTTTCTGAGGCTTGGCTGCACTGCGCTTTTTTCGGAAAGGGCGGCCCTTCACCTTCCAAGTAAAACAGCGGGTTGTCCCAACACAGCTTTTCCCTAGGAACAGCTATCCTGTACCGCTACTAAAGTACACGTGGAGCTCCCCTCAAAAGCCCCTGTTCGGTTAGTCTCAAAACAGGTGAACCCCCAAACAAGTGAGTCACAATTTTAAGACCTGGTACAAAAATGGTGAACCCAGAACCATGCTTCAAGAATTCGAAAGGCGGCTATCCGCAACTATTTCCGGCTGGGACTGCCCCTTACTAACCTTCATCTCCGGGTTTTGATTGTGGCTCACCTGGGCTTGGTTTCACTGCTTTTCCGGATGGGAACAGCTCCGAAAGGGTCGCCCTTCAGAAAAAAACAGGACCTTCCAAATAAAAAGGACCTTCCAAATTAAACAGCCGGTTGTTTTATTGGTTTCAATTTAAGGCCACAGAACGAAATACCAACTCGAACAAGGACACACCCAAATGGGGGGGTTGTTAGGCCGACTTTCTGTGAGATCAAGGGTACCTTCAAAGTGACGACGAAGTGGTCCTAGGGATTGCCTACTTCGGTATCACAGAACACTTCGTTTTCAAGCCTAGTCTTTTCCAGGGATTGGCTTTGGAGGTGTGGAGGTCGTGTACCACGTACGTAAGGCGCACATAATCCACAGTATGGATCACAGCTGACCTGGGCTTGGTATTGAGCGTGCGTCCGTAGATCCCATTCTTTTTGCGAGAAAAACCAACCAACGATCCTTGCTTTTGCTTTGCAGGAACCCCCCCCCATCTTCTCTGAGGGTATTTTTTTTGAGGCTGGCTTTTTTTTCTACAATGGGCAAACGGGAAATCAAAGGAACACCATCATTTTGGGTTTGTCCCATGTTTTAACACATGTAAAGGCTTCGATTAGGGCCATGACCATGACTCAGAGCTCCTTGCTTCATTGTGTCACAACATCTGGGACAAAGTGCCCTTTGCACAGACGCGAGACTGCGCCTCGCACCCAAAGAACGATCAAGTTTCGAGCACCGGGAAATCCCATAAGTTCAGTAGCCCCAGCTTCTGCCATCTAAGCCGACCAAAGCGAAGCGGCAATATGCACCCGGCCGAGGAGCGTCCTGATGAGACCAGACTCGAAGACACATACCTCAAACCCCCAAAGAGGCGACACATCCCAAACACACTCTCGATGGGTTCCACTGCCCCCCAAGCCTCAGTCCCCCTAATTGGTGGTTTGGTTTGTCGGAGGTTAGAGGGTGGTTTGGTTCAAATCCCCCAACCACCCATCCAAGCCACCAAGAAAGCGTTGCCTGAAAACCACTACCAAGGGGAAACGGGCTACATCCCTTCGTATAGTAGGTATATAGTCTGGGCTGTCCTGAGGTCCCCTGCCAAAAAATGTTCTTCTCGTGGGTTAAATGGGAACCTTTACTAGGAACCGAACAGCTGGGAACCGCGCCATGCAACTTCTGGGCTGGTCATTCCGGTGGTTTGGGGATGGCTTCCCCGTCCCTCTCCAAGCTGCTAAGGATTCCTCCGCGCTCCAGCCCATGGTCAGCAGGCCTGTGGCATCCGTCAGGGCACAAGGATCCCCAAATGGATAGGGACGAAGCCTGAGGCTCCTTCAGACACCGGGGAGTGGAAAAGCGTTCCTCAAAATGGCTCAAGTTGCATTTTGGGATTTTGGGGGGGGTGAAGGAACCCCAAGTCAACATGACTTGCTGGTGCGATAGGTAGGGGAATGACCCAAGATCCTGGGTGGTGGAACGAACCACGAACTGGCAAACCACTGAAACGTATCCATGGGCCCAGCACCTCGGTCGGGGACCCAAGTTCCTGAGTTCCTTAGCGGCGATTCCTCTAAACCACAAGCGAAAAGCAATGCCTGGTAAGACCCCAGGAAAAATGAGAGAAAATATGTCCAGTAATTGCTTCCCTTTGAAACACGGGGAAAATGTAAAGAAAAATCGATTCAGCATTGCTTTGTAAAAAAAAAAAAAAAAAAAACGCCCATTGAAGCTCACCCTTTTGCCCCCTTTCGAGCAAAAGGAATGGCACCGGCGAGCTCATCTTCTTTGAGGTTCCTTTGGAACCAAAGCTTTGGCACAAGCAAATGGAACACTCAGGCTGCCTTGGACGACTTCCATTTGCGTGTTCGCCCACTGATTTTTATTTTAAAAAAAAATGTCCACTAGATAGATTCCCTTTGACCCGCCCCAAATTTCCTCCAAGCGCTCCCCCCCACCCACCCCCCACACCACCCCCGCAGCCCACCGCAGCAACCACCCACCCCGCACCCCACTCAGCCCCCGCAGCCCCCCACCATGATTAGAGTTAGGCGTTATAGAAGGTATCTTTTTTTGCTTGCTTCAATTTGAGTCACTGGAAAAATGTGAAATGTAACCTAAGTCTGCCCCACCCTCCCACCGCAAGCACCCAACCCCACCCAACCCCCACCCCCACCCCACACCCCCACACCCCACCCCACCCAGCCCCCCACCCCCACCCCCCCCACCCCCCACCCCCACCCCACACAGCCACTACGCAGCCACTCCGCCTGTGTGCGCCCAGGCCATGGATTGGATCAAGCGCCCGGCCGCCGTCCAGGTCTGGAGCTGGGGCTGCAGGCTGCCCTTCACCGCTTGGAAGACGTGCCTCGCCCCGGCGCCGGGGGGAGGGGGGAAACCGGAAACCAAACAAAAAACGGGAGAGGGAAACCAAACAAAAACGAACCGGGGAAGAAAAGAAGGAAGAAAACAAACAGGAGAAGAAAGAAGGAAAAAAAGGGGCGCCACCCTTCAGCTTCCCTCATTTTTGTTGGGTTTGAGTTGGTGGCAAAAAAACGACATCCCCTTCAGATTCCCTCCATTTGTTGGTTTGCATTGGTGGTTTGGTGGTTCTACCCTTCACCTTCCCTCGAATTGGAGGAAAACGTGACATATCAGGCAGCTTCCCTCTAATTGGGGAAACAAAAAGATACGCTTCGGCTTCCCTTTCATTTTTGGTGGGTTGGCGAGTCGTTCATGTCCTCAACAGGGCCATATCTACCATGTTTTTGACTGAACCTCACATCCCACACTGGCGCACGGGGGTGGTTCGACTATAAGGGGGGGGGGGGGGGGGGGGGGGGGGGGCAAAAAGTTTGAGGCGCACTTTGGCTCAACCAAAGAATTTCCCCTTAAGCCTGGGTGAACGAGTAAACCAATAGGCGCAAGAGCGGTGAACACTCCCAACCTCAAAGCCCATTACAGGGATCCTTACATTATACACCTGAACATTGCAACTTGTAAATGGTGGGTTCCAACTTTATTTTGGTGTTGAAAGAAGCAGCATGTTTCAAATGGTTGCAAAATGGATCCATCTATTAAGGAGCCCTGCAAGCCCATTATAAAGGAAACCTCAGACCATGTGGTCTGAAAGGATTGAGGCATGGGGTTCGGATGTGAAGCTGTAGCTGGGCGAAATTGACCGATCCCACACCCGGCACGGGAAAGGACGGGAAACGCCCAAGGGGAAAACGCGGGCAAAAGCTGGGCGAGGTCTCGGAAAAGCCTCGTTTGTGGTCGTTGTTTTCCAGCCCCCTTCCAGCAAGCTCTCCTTTGTCTTGCTCTCTTTTTGGGGGAGGGGGAAAGACACACAAAGCCCACGGGTAGCTTCCATTTTCTTCAGCCCCCTGGAAAAAATCTAGTACTTTGATTGATACCCTTTTTCACAACCAACAGGGAAAAATACATATATATATATGGATTCAACCCAAATGGAGAAAAAGAAGAAGAAGAAGAACAAAAGAAGAAAACAAAAAAACAGACACAAAAACGCTTCAGCAAATGCAAGGCGGTGGGCTCGCTTCCATGGGTTACCTCCAAACGCCAGGTTGCTCATCCCGCACGGTGGCGACCGGCCTCAGTCGGTGGTCTCTGGCTCCGGTGCCCTCCTATGGGTCCTTCAGTGGCTTGAGGTTCGAATACGGGTAGTCGATTTTAGTAGTGGAACTCCCCCCCCCCCCCCCCGAAAAAGGGTAACAGGGCACTGGGGGACCTAGAATTGACTCCCTGTGAAAGGAAGATGATCCAGACCAGGAACCCCCGCCCAGGTTCCATGTTGATTGGTGTATATCTGCGGGGTTGCTGGCGCTTTGAAGGGTCCACCAGACCAACCAATTTGGAAGAAAGCCGGTAATACTGTGGGTGGATGAAATCCATTTCGCACCACTTGGAACCCATGGAAAATCAGAACGGGTCATCATTTCAGCGTCTCTTTGGTGGTGCAGAATGTCGTTCACCCACAGTAGGGCTCAGGCTCAGTAAACCCCTGGTTGATGAACAGGGTACCAGAAGTTCACCACAGGACTCAGGCTCGGGGAAAAAATATGGAAAAAAAACATGGTTGACTAACAGGGTACCACCCTTTAAGGGGGGCAACACCCAGGTCGCCCCTCCGACCCAGAAGTCCCGGGTGACATCTCGGAGAAATCTGCGGGATTTCTCGGCCGAAGGGCCCGCCGAAGGGAGCGCCGGCCACCACGCAGAGGTGTAGGCGGTCGGGGTCGTCGGACCACTGCGCCGGGTAGATCTGGCAGCCCGGGGGTCGACTGACAGACCTACCAACAACCCACCAACCCACCAACCCACCAACCCACCAACCCACCAACCCACCAACCCACCAACCCACCAACCCACCAACCAACCAACCAACCAACCAACCAACCAACCAACCAACCAACCAACCAACCAACCAACCAACCAACCAACCAATCAGTGAGCCAGCCACGACCCTCCGACCAACCAACCAACACCAGGCCAAACAAAACGAGAAAGCAAAAGGGATGCCTCCACCGAGAGAAAAGCGCCGGAAGCCTCTAGGCGTCCCTCCGCATCGGCTTTCACTAACCTGTCCGCGTCCCGCGTCCCGCCCAGCCCAGCCCATCCCAGCCTCCGGCTTGCGGTACCAAAGGTCCGCCAACCTCGAGGGAGCGGCGATTCAGGTGCACGCAGGTAGCTGAAGAGTGTCAGGACTCCATCTCGGGGCCAAATCGGATTCTGGCCCGTGCGCATCCCCCTTCGAGTCAGGAAGGCCCCCAATCCCGGAGTGAACATTGGAACTATAACTTCCGATCGAGCGGACTCTCCCAAGTGCCCAGACTTATGTGCCATGCACCAAAATAGTCCAAACCTCACTTCCTGAGTACCCTGGCCAGTTTCCTGAGTGGCCAGAAAACGTCAAAACGCTGTGTTTGCCACTAAAATCAGCCCCAAAAAGTCTAGGGGTACCTTCCCATTCTTTCCAGGAAGAACGATGGTTGAAGAGAATTGGGAATTGGAATCAAACCCTAGAGTTTTTACGGATTTCTGCCTTTGGTTCCCTTTAAAACAACCACCAAAAGCTACCCTCATGTCATGTGCGCTTTTGGAATCAACCCCTAGAAAAGGAGTCAACCCCCAGAAAAAGGTGCTCTAACGTCCGGTCCGAGCCCCGGAGCTCTTCGAATCTCCGAGGCGCTTCTGCCAGTCGGAGCTCATGGCACTTTACGCCCCCATGGCGCTGGCCCGACGCGGCGATCGGCGGCTTTCGGCCGCTTTGCGGCGGCTTTCGGCGTTCGGCTTGGACGGCGTCGGCTTTTCGGCTTCGGCGGCGTTACGGAAACCCCCCTGCAGCGCCATGCTGGTCTGTGGGCTACCAAACACGAATGACCAAAGTTGGGTTTGGAACTGGCTCTTGTCTGGAAATGAACACAGAATGGCGTCTCCGACCAGGACGGCTAGTCCTTCTTGCTGGCGAATGGCGAGCTGTTTGACAGGATTCTGGAAGCTGCGCCAGACACATGGAGGAGTGAACAAGTAAACCCGCTTTGTCGCAATGCTTCCACAACCCACGCTCTAGAATTCATTTGGGGTCACCCAAAAGAAACCCGGATAGGTTAAGATTGGCAAGAAACAATGCCAGCCACAATAAGGTGCGGATTTTACCTGGTGATAGGCCCCTGTGACTCAACGGGCTTTCCTGGCCGGGTTTTTCTTATCCGCCAAACGAACTCAAGATGAGCGGGGTGAAGGGGGCAGGCCTTGGAGAAATTGAAATGTGCCTCTAAACACCAAAGCAAAACCACGCATTTTGGGGCTTGCAGACCCAAACCCTAGATGCCCAATACCCCAAATAGATGGAATTCCCGAGCTAGCGCAGCTAGCTCAGATCCTGGACCAGTCTCACAGAGGGTGGTCCGCAGTAACAGACACACCCATATGGCAGCATCCACCATTCCCCCCCCATCCCCCCCCCCTCCGTATGTCCAAATTGCAACCTTCTTTGGGGTACTTGGTCGGGCTTTTTCCTGCAAAAGAAAAAGGGACGTGTCATATTTTCAGGGCACCATTTTGCAGGTTGGCTCAAGGCTTAAAGAGACACCCTGCAATCAAAACCACGCCATTTTTGCAGCTTCCCAACAAAGAAGGGCACCCATCTGCAAATCTGACTCCAATTCCAAAAGCTGCATCAACAAATGGACCTCCAAGAAAAAAACGCACCTTTATCATGTGCGAGCTGGATATCAACCCCGAAATCGGTGAGCTCGCCAATCCCCTGTTGATTAATAAGGGGTGGTTTTGGGTTTAGAGACTTTTGGAGCACCCCTCCACCCACCTATGAATGAACTGGGGTTGATCAACATGAGGTCAACATTAAGAAAATCGGCAGACCTCAACCGCCCCCCTTGTTGATTGAAACCACGCCATCGTGCGGGTCCCCACCAACAAACAAAAAACACACACACAAACAAACAAACAAACAAACAAGCAAGCAAACAAACAAACAAACAAACAAACAAACAAACAAACAAACAAACATGCGTCCCTCCTGCGGCTTCGTTTTGTTTTTCTCACCTCCAGGACCTCGAGCACTGGCGCTTCATGGGCTGCGAGGGGCCCTGCGCCAGCCGCGCTTGTGGGATGTTGCCCTCCAGCACATCGAACTCCCCCAAGCCCGAGTCGAAGTAGAACCTCGGGCTTGAAAAGAAAGCCAAGGGGGGGGAAGGGAGGGGAGGGACTGGGTGGATGTGGGTATGAGTTTAAATTAGGGAGATGTTTAGGTGGACAGCAGAATTCGGGGGATTCATGTCCACCACTGGGAGATCCTCATCCAACAACTCATAGCCGTATTGAGGATAGATGTTGTTGGGTTCTGTTTCTGAGGGTTGTCAAGATCGGCTTCTGGGGCCTCGTTCCCTGTCTCCTTCAGGGAGGCTTGGATCGAGGGGTCCCCGGCCAAGGGAACAAGTGGAGGTGTGTGAGCCCAAAAAATGTGAACCAACATGACAAGGGCCAAACAGACACAACCAACCAACCAACCAAACAAACAAACAAACAAACGACCAAACAAACAAACAAACCCTCAAATAGAATCTAGAAGGCTCTTGCCTGCCCAAATGCCATGAAAAAGAAAGGTTGAAGCGGCTGGGCCAGTGTTGTTTTTGTTGTTTTCTTCATGGGAGCTTGGTCGCACCCTTTGCTGGTTACAATCCTGCTTTTTTTTGAGGGGGGAAGCGGATCACCCAGACCTCCACCCACAAAGCGGCTGAGCACCTAGAGCTGCGACTGGGACCCTGGCCCCCTTAAGGAAAGTAGACTCTTCCAGCTTCTTTCAAACCTTCACCTTGGGTGGGTTAAGAAGACACAAGGGCCAAAACAAGGAAGAACACCAAGAAAACGGTTCAACCGGCCGGCCGATCCTAGCCCCCCCCCCCCACCCCACCCCCCACCCCCCACCCCTCACCCCCACCCCCCACCCCCCACCCCTCACCCCCCACCCCCCACCCCTCACCCCCACCCCCCACCCCCACCCCCCCACCCCCGACGCCCCCCCCCCCCGGCACCTCATCTGCAGAAACTCTTGGCAGTGCAGCAGCCAGGTCCGCACGTTCTCGTCCGCCAGGAAGCTGCGCCAGTCCTGGTAGTTGTCGTTGTCCAGGAACTTGCAGTTCCTGCCAGCGATTTCGCCCAGGAAGCCCCTGCTACGGGTGGAAAAGTACAAACCCCCTGTTCATACCGGTTCCTTGGCTTCGGTGGTTTCCATCCCACTTTTTTTGGGATTAAAAACCCTTTTGGGGAGAGGGGTATGAACATCAGCAGGCCTTTGGGGTTCATTTGTCCAAGGGGTATGTAAAAGGGGTATGTACAAGCACCCCTGAGACTTCCTAGTCCAAGTTCCCCCCTTGAGTTGATCAACTTGCTGGTGCTCAGGGAAGGAACCCAGAACAACTTAAAGGAACCCACAAGGCATGGTTTATCGGGGTCATTCCATTTCTCATTCCCTGCCCAAGGCACCAGCAAGCCAATTGACCGGTGGTTTCCGTTCAAATGACCGCCACGTTCGGCTCCGAGGAACCCCTGTGCCACCGCTCTGTTCCAACACCGCTGCTTGAAACTCCGAAAGGGATCGGACTTCCGGTCCGATGCTCCACCATGCAAAAACAGAATGGCAAGCTGTAGGCAAAACTGTTCGCCCCTTGTGATCAACATGCCCCCCTCGTTTTTGTGATTTCTCCCAGGCGGTTTGGCCTTCGGAATCCTTTGGGCATACCATCCCTCAGCTTGAAAAACAAACATCTCAAGGTGACCCAAAGATTGTTCGGGACTTTTCAGCTTGAAACACAAACATCTCAAGGTGACCCAAAGATTAAAAAGAAGAAGAAGAAAAAACGGGACTTCTCTCACCTCACTTTGATTTCGTGCCTGCCCCTTTGCCTTTGGGCAAGGCGAAAAATCCCGCTCCAAACTCTTGGGCGTTCCCTGGGTTTTGGTTTCCCTTCACCCCGCCTCCCGCCTGCCTCCCCCTCCCACACGAACGGCACAAGGAGACGTTCTTTGACCACTCACACCAACCAAGTTGAGAGCAACAGCAGCCGCATGTTTTTTTTTTTTTTTCTCAAATGGGAATGGGTCCTCTGAGATGAGTGGTTTGTTTAAAAGAAAATTTGGCTTCCCTTTAGATACCGACCAGAAGGGGGGTGCACTCCTTGGCATTCCAATTCCAACAGGAACTTGGGAACTTCCCGTCCAAGGCCTCCAAATCAGATTCGAGAGACCTCCCAGTTTAGCCAGCTACTCAGCTTCCTTCTAATTGGTGGTTTGGATTGCTGGTTTGGAGCTTGGAAGTCGTTTTGCATCCCTCTGCAAGAACCAGGGCTTCAAATACCAAAACCACAAATCCAAACCGCCAATTAGGCAATTCGGGATTGCCTGAGTTACTGGGGGCCATAGCGACACCTTCGAACAAAAAATGCCAGCCATCATCAAACCGTAAGGAGCGAAGGGCAACTGAACCTCTGCAAATCAACAAACCCAATCTCCTTTGGACACGCCACAAGTGCTCTTGGAGAACCACTCATGTAACCAGTTTAAAGGGGCTCGGCCATAAAGAATGCCCAACCACAAGCGCAGGAAAGCCTGGCCCGACGGGTAAAAACGCGGTCCGAGACAATCACAACGCAAAGATATGCCACTTCCCTTGTTGCAGCTCATTATCCCTTGCTTACTCCTCATTCATGCTTCCTGTACCCCTCATCTAGCCAGCCCTTTTTTGGGGTTCACGTTGGGCGTCACCTCTCTGACAGTCTGAGCAACCACAAGGGCGCAAAATCATATTTCAGGCATCACCCCCTCCCCGAATTTCCTTCTTACACTGGGTTGCTCTTCCCTCCCACGCCAAAAGACAGAACCTTTTGCAGCTCTAATTCGGCCAAGCCCTCTTTGCCCGCTCCCCACCGCGTCCCCCAACAAAAAAAAGGCCCCTCGATCGCGTGAGCCCCGCTCGAGCCGTCCAAGCCGACGAATCGACGCATCGAAAAATCGTCCTGCGGTAGGCGCACTTGATGGTCATCTCGTCATCGGCGCTCTTGTGCCTCGCCCCCAGCAAGCGCGGGGTGAGCTCGATGCTCTCGCACATCGAGGAGATGTCCGGCGGCACTTCGAACCTCGGCTGGAGGGCCGGCCAGGTAGGGGTCTGGAGGGCTGGGAGTTGGCGCCCTGTTTTCTGAGCCACGGCCAAATATGGGGGCTGGAAGAATGTGAAAAAGGAAGCATGCCCTGGATAAAATATGAAAATTGTTTGGTCGCCTTTGCAAGAAATGACGAACAACATGGATCAGTGTCCACGTGGTAAAACTGCGATGCTTCAGAGAAGTGTATGTCCCTTCTTTTGGCCCGCCCCGAAAAAAGGTTGCCCTTGTTGGTTCCCCTTTTAAACCACCCAAAAAGCAACGGAACCCTCAAAGCAAGACACACCCATACCCCCCCCCCCGAGAGAGAAAAACACAAAAACGTTGTCCTGTTGGTTTCCCGTGTGCCCAAAAAATATATGCGCAAGAGTTGAAACCGACTTAGCGACTTCGTGCCCAGGAGCACGTCCCGGCCATTCTCTGCCCCGTGGAAGTTCTCGAAGATCACGCCAATGACTCGGAGCTGGAGCTTCCTTCCGAGCGCCAAATGCCGATGTGGCGTTTGGGTGTCCTCGTTTTGTTGGTGTCTTTTGCTTTTGTTGTACTTGGTGTAGTTGCTTTGCTGCTCTTTTGTCATTGCTGCTGCTGTTGAGCTTGCTGCTGTCGTTGCGTTGCTCTTGTTGTTGTGATGCCTTGGATTCAAGAAAGCATGAGGAAACTTAAATTTGTGCCCAAGCCGGCAGCTACATCCGCCCGCCCCGGGCGTTAAAGGCAGCAACCTGCCAAAAAGGAAACTTCGAAGGAATCCAAAAGGGGTGAAAAAGCAGAGGGTGAGTTAAGTCTGGCAAAGCTTCTGGGTCAAATGCCGCACACATCTTCTCACCCCCTCGTAGTCGAAGAGGTAGCTGTTCTGCTTGTCGCGCTTCAAGACGCGGCTCCCATAAGTGGCGCCCACATTGGCGAAGTTCACGACCACGCGATTCAAGTCATAAGGCCTCCCCTCGTTGTCCACGGCTCCCACTGCCATGTTTCTGGGCACCGCGGGGGATGGCATTTGAGACACCTGCGGGGTCTGCGCGACTGAGTTCGGCGGTCGTGGGGGTGGGCCCGGCGGAGGCGTCGGCATGTCGCTTCGGGCCGGCCCTCGGCTGGGAGGCCCTCTGCTGGGAGGGCCGGGGGGTGGCCTTGGCTGGGGAGGGGTCGGTGGAGGCACTGGCACCTCCGCTGACTCCATGTGCTCGCTGGCGGAATTCCCCCGGCGCGGTGCGGGCACCCGCTTGATCGTGGGAGTAAGGCTCTTCCAATCCGGCTTGTAGCCTGGCGGAGGGTAGGCCGGAGGATGTGGTGCATCCCGCTTCTCCGGCTCGATCGGCGGCTTTTGCGCCGGCCAGGCGGAAGCGAGTTGGCCAGCTTTTGGGCCTGAAGCCACTGCAGCTCCCGCGCCTGTGCTAACGCCGGTGTCCAGAATGGTCGCCCAGGCAAGGTCGAAATGAGCCTGCTCGACTATGGGCTGCTCACCCTCGTCCGTGAGGCTCACGCGCACGTCCTGCACCGAAGCTTCCTCCGAGACCTGGAAGGCGGGCTTGTTCTGCAAGACGCCGCGGAGCTCCTCCGGCAGCTGGCTGATCGTGCTCTGCCGCTCTTGGCCGAGGCGCTTCAGCAGCTGCAGCACCTTCTTCTGTGTCAACAGCCGCCGCATGGACGCGCGCTTCCCGGGCTCTAGCAGCAGCTGCTGCCTCACCTGCTCCAGCAGCAACACCTCTAGCGGCACCTGCGGCACAACCGGGGCCGCCGTGGGCACCGCCTTGGGCGCCACCTTGGGCGCCGGCTTGGGCGCCGCCTTCACCGGAGGGTTGCGCACCACGGCCGCCGTGATCACCGGCTTCGGCATGGGCTTGGCGGTGGCGTTCCTCTCGTGGGAGGGCGGCGGCTTGCCGCTGGGCTCCACGCCCTTGCCCTCGGAGCCCTTGGAGCCCTTGGAGCCCTTGGAGCCCTTGGAGCCCTTGGAGCCCTTGCCGTTGGAGCCCTTTCCCTTGGATCCCTTTCCCTTCACTCCCTTTCCCTTGCCCTTCGCCTTCTCCTTGACCTTGTTCCCCTTCCCCTTGGCCTTGGGCTTCGCCTTTGGCGCGGGCTCCACGGACACGATCATGCAGTCATCACTCTCATCCCCCGGAGCCTCAGGCTCCGGCTCCTGATGTGAGCCCACGCGCGCGCCCTCGCCCTCGCCGTCGCTGTCGCCCCAGTCCACCTCCTCCTCGGGATTCACATCATTCTCCTCCTCCTTGCTCCGGCCAAGGTCCTCGGCGTACCAACCAAACTCCTCACTGATGTCCTGGTACGGGTCATTGAGGCATTCATCCGGATCGGCCATGGCGCTTGAGCCAACGCAACTGACACAACCACACCTTTCCCCCTGTCCACTGCTCAAACCTGAAACCTCTTACAACCTCAAACCTCCTGGCTGCTCAAAGGCTGAAACCTGCACGCCCGCAAAACAAACACCCGTTTTAGTCCCGCAGTGGTAAGGACTGTGTCTACGCTCAAGCCAAGAAAGCGTTCCCTAAAACACATAGGGCGGGGCCCGCACAAAGACTCGCAAGCCGGCGGTTTCCAGCACTGCGTCCTCACTGAGGGGCGCAGCCTTAAAACTGTGAGGCTCATTGAATTCGGCTTCACACCTCAGCAGACACAGCCCGATGTTCTGCGACACCGTGAGGAGGGACCCCACCTTGTGCTGGTCAAAGGAGCCCACTTGATTTCCCCAAAAGCCCACGCTTCCCAACAAAAAACAGAGGAGCTTTGTTAAGCATGGCCCAAATGTTGCCTTTTCCACATCTTACCGAGACCTGGGGGGGGGGGGGGGGGGGGGGGGGCGTAGGCATGGGGGGTCAACTTTCACCGAGGCCCACCTGCTTCGCATCGCCGTGTCCCTTCCTGCACATCACCGCCGCATCCATCTCGGGCTCTTCCTTCAGAGGCGCCACAAAGTCCGGCGTCAGCGGCGAGCCGGGCGGCAGCTGCCGCAAGCGCTCCTGAACTCAACTGGACATCACTGGGGCCCCCCCAAAAGGAAACGCCACAACTCAGGATCCAGATGCCCCGCTTTTGAGGGTTCCCTTTTCTTTGGTCCGGTGGAATACCAATGGGAAACAATGCAGGTCGCCTGTTCTGTTTAGAGCATGCGCCGTTGGATGCCTGAAGAGAGTCAAAACATCCCAAACCTCGATATGGTAGCAAGAAGCTGTTTGTGCAGCCTCGCTGCCCCCACTAACAATGAACACAGCCTGAAAACACAGATTCGAGAAAAGAACTAAGAGTAAACAAAGAACGCACCAACTAATAAGCGTCAAAACACGTTGTGAGTAGGAACCAACATAACAATCTGCAAATGATACTATACTCCAAAAAGGTAATTTAAGAATTGGATCCCCAAGTAAAGGACCGTGTTTTGCCATGGTGAGCTCGGTATTCACCCCCCGAATCGGTGAGCTCGCAACAAAACTAGGCAGAATCATTTGGATTTGACATCACCCCACCAAGGGATACTCAGCCTTAAAGGTGATGTTTAACAAAACAACAACTCAAATGCCCAGTGGCCGTAGGACAAAAAGGGCATCCTTTTTTGGTTGGTTGACTTCAAAGGGAAACCCTTCCCAAAAGAAGGAGAAAAGGGCACCACAGGGACAAAAAGGGAGATGTAGGTCCAGCAAAGGGATTGGACGCGAGTTCTATGGTTTCCCCATGTTGTTTGGCTAGTTGTTCCTCTTTTAATACTCTTTTAGTACTCTTTTGCTATCCTACAAGGGTGGATCCACAACAACCGCATCCAAACCGTTTCCTAGAGTAGGGACTTCCCTGTTTCAAGCCCTCCGGGACGTCTCCCAGCGATTTTCTCCTGCACCTCCGCCGCCTGGCTCTCCTCCACCGCGATGCTGGTGAAGACGCGGCGCCGCACCGCGCCCCGGTGCTTGGTGCGGGTCAGCAGCTCCTGAGCCAACCGAAAGAACGAAAAAAGAAACGGCCGGCTGCGATCCGCTCAATTTTGAGGCGATGGTATGGAGCTACTCGGACAGTATAAGACCTGGTCGGGCCATCAAAGTTGAGGTGGTTCCAATCCCAGGTGCCACCGCTACTGTTCACGCCTTGCCGTGGAGACCGCAACAAGTCCGGCGATCCCCTAGTTTGAGACACACGCATACGGGTGTGTCATATATTTCCCTGGCGGATCCCATGAAGAAGTGATTCCCCAACGTAAATACTAACAAAGTTGTATATGGTTTCAACCATGGATGCGAAACGGATTTCGACCGCCATGGGGGTTGATCACAAGGTGCTTCACATGGGATTACCATTGGGGGAAGCATCTTAAATGAGAAAAGTTACCCACCGTCATTTAGGAGCCAGGAATATTGATCAACCCCCATAAGCGTGTGTGTTGTTTTTGAGGGACCAAGGGTGGTCGCGAGTGTGATTTTTTTTTGGGGGGGGATCCGGCTGGGATTCCGCAAAAATGGCTGTTCCGAATTAAAGCTACAGAAAGTTCGGCCCAGGGCTGTGGGGAATGGAATCCACTTCTGTGATGCAATAGCCAGGGCCTAACCCCAAAGACTAATTCGATCATAGAAACGGGGATTCCAACTTATCGCGGAAGTGGTTGGATCAACCCCTTCCCGCAACCCTGGAAGTTCGGCCGTTTACCCAACTAAGAATAAAACCTTGCGCCATCCTAGCTCCAAGTTGTCGCGCCCAAGGGTGAATCGAAAACCAAGGGTCTGCATGAGTGGTACAGAGTCTGCATGGATGTGTGTGTGTGTGTGTGTGTGTGTGTGTGTGTGTGTGTGTGTGTGTGTGTGTGTGTGTGTGTGTGTGTGTGTGTGTGTGTGTGTGTGTGTGTGTGTGTGTGTGTGTGTGTGTGTGTGTGTGTGTGTGTGTGTGTGTGTGTGTGTGTGTGTGTGTGTGTGTGTGTGTGTGTGTGTGTGTGTGTGTGTGTGTGTGTGTGTGTGTGTGTGTGTGTGTGTGTGTGTGTGTGTGTGTGTGTGTGTGTGTGTGTGTGTGTGTGTGTGTGTGTGTGTGTGTGTGTGTGTGTGTGTGTGTGTGTGTGTGTGTGTGTGTGTGTGTGTGTGTGTGTGTGTGTGTGTGTGTGTGTGTGTGTGTGTGTGTGTGTGTGTGTGTGTGTGTGTGTGTGTGTGTGTGTGTGTGTGTGTGTGTGTGTGTGTGTGTGTGTGTGTGTGTGTGTGTGTGTGTGTGTGTGTGTGTGTGTGTGTGTGTGTGTGTGTGTGTGTGTGTGTGTGTGTGTGTGTGTGTGTGTGTGTGTGTGTGTGTGTGTGTGTGTGTGTGTGTGTGTGTGTGTGTGTGTGTGTGTGTGTGTGTGTGTGTGTGTGTGTGTGTGTGTGTGTGTGTGTGTGTGTGTGTGTGTGTGTGTGTGTGTGTGTGTGTGTGTGTGTGTGTGTGTGTGTGTGTGTGTGTGTGTGTGTGTGTGTGTGTGTGTGTGTGTGTGTGTGTGTGTGTGTGTGTGTGTGTGTGTGTGTGTGTGTGTGTGTGTGTGTGTGTGTGTGTGTGTGTGTGTGTGTGTGTGTGTGTGTGTGTGTGTGTGTGTGTGTGTGTGTGTGTGTGTGTGTGTGTGTGTGTGTGTGTGTGTGTGTGTGTGTGTGTGTGTGTGTGTGTGTGTGTGTGTGTGTGTGTGTGTGTGTGTGTGTGTGTGTGTGTGTGTGTGTGTGTGTGTGTGTGTGTGTGTGTGTGTGTGTGTGTGTGTGTGTGTGTGTGTGTGTGTGTGTGTGTGTGTGTGTGTGTGTGTGTGTGTGTGTGTGTGTGTGTGTTGTTGAGGGTACCCCATTTGGTTGGGCTTAAGGGAAACCAAAAGGAAACCAACTTTGGGGGGGTGACCTAAAAAACCTACACTGCGAGGAGGAAGAAGGGAACCGATTCCCAAAATACATCTATCGTAACTTTCCATGGTCTTGTGGGTGACCGTGCGCGGTTTACTTGCAAAATGGGATCGGGGCATCCACCGCAGCCCAAGTATTCTTAGTGCTCCGTTGCCTCTTAACGTGATTCTTGCAGGATATGTCACAAAACTCCCTGCGAAACCTCTCCACTCGTCGGGCACGGCCTGGTCTAGCTACCGTGCTTAGTCCTTGATGGTCCTTCGTGGCACACCGATCTGTAGACGCTAGCAATGGCTCCCCTCGCACAGGGTGCACAAGAGATCAGACGCCCAGCCGACCCTTAACCTCCAAGACCTCCCGAAACAAAATGGATCCTTAAAAATCAGCTGGTACTTGGGTGAGGTGTTGGCTTCATGCATCCTTTGAGGGAGCCTGGCAGATAAGCAGGCGGGGCAGACTCTGCCCCCAAAACGCGAATTCCCCTCCCGGTCATGGATGGCTGGAGCTGTCCTGGCCCACGTAGCAACCCTTGTTGAAGGACACGAAGTTCAGCAGGTCCAGGTTCACGTGCAGGGGCATCACCTGGAGGTCCAAAAGCGCCAAAAAAAAGATGGCTCTAGATATGCGCCAATGGTCGGGCCTGTCCGCAAGATTGTCAAACAATCCTGGGGCTTCATGGCTCAGCCGCTTCATACCTCAGGTGGACTTCATCCCCTTGGACCAGCCCAAACCCAAAGGCACTGATGCAACAGCGCTCGCTCCCCGCGCCTCGTCCTTCATGTCCTGGGGCCCCTCCGGCACCCCGCAGCGCACCCGCCAGGAGTGGTACTCCCACAGCGCGCCCAAGGCGGAGGCCTCTCCGGAGCCGTTGGCCAGGATGGCGCGGTGCCCGAGCCTTGCTTGGCGTTGGAAGGGGGAACATGTCCACCACTAAACCACCATTACGCAAGAATGAGGAAAAAGGTGTCCCAACAACCATGGAGCTTCGCGAAGCGGGGGTCCGGCCAGTAGCCCTCCACACCACCTTGCGGCTCGAACAGGGGCAAAGGATCTCGCGGCATAAAAACGGAGCGAAAGCCGGGGCTTTGGAGCTTTGGAGTGCCCCATGCTGAAATCTGTGAGGCAGTGGCAGTGGCGAGTGACCCAGAAACCCTCAAATTTCAAACAAGAACGGAAAGCTGCCAGATTGCCCCCGCACCTTCTGGCTCCCCTGCGGCGGGCAGCAAAGCTGTAGGCTGGTAGCCTGACATGCGCTAGGCTCGTGGAGGACTTGGCGAAGATCCTCGAATCTACAAGAATTAAAAAAGGGATTCGGAAGGGAACAAAAACATGCATCGAATTGATTGAATCAACGAGTGATAGTACCCCCGCAAGAAAAGCAAGTTGTGCTGAGTCGTGTCATGCCCGTCTAGAAATTCCATACTGATCAATCTGATCACCCTTCACTCGCGGCAGCCAGGAATGTCGCCTCCAGGGTTTACACGATTCTCCTGAATGACCGAAAAAGATGTGATCTTCCAATGGAAAGCAGCCAGCCCACCCGCCCCAGCAACCATCCCACCTGCAGACACGTCTTCGATGGCCAGCGGCTGTCGCAACTTGTGCCGGATCAGCAGCCGCCGCAGCGACGCGGCGACGGAGGAGTGGCAATCCACCTCAGCGAATTGCTGAAAGTCAGTTGGGTCATGGCAGCCTTCCGAAAGGACCCCTGCCCCGAAAAACACAAACTGACGGGGAGTGGTTTGTTATCAAGTATCTCTGGTCCCTTGGCTCCGCACATGTCCAGTTGGAAAGGTTCTAGAGATCCCCAAAAAGCTTTGTGAATTCTCTTGGAGAGAGAGCAAAGTTACTCTCCCCCACATTTGTTTGTGTAGGGGTCCATGAAAAGCCCGGCTCATCCTTCAATTCCAGAACGCCAATCAACAGCTGCCTTTGCCATGAACCAGGCCGATGTCATTGTCCGTTTCCTTGCCGTTCTTTTCTAGCCAGGTACCCAGGTGCAATATGGGTCTGTCTTCTTTTGAGGGCACCCTTTTCTTGAGGGAGGGGGGCCAAGGGCAAAAAGGAAAACCCGCACTTGGAAATGTAAGAAGGTCCAGACCCATATCGATTTATGGCCTCCGGCCGACCTTCCAAGCTTTTCGCCGGAAGGCCAAGAACTCGTCGGGCTCCAAGCGCTGGATCAAGGTGTCACACAGCACCTTGCCCTTGGCGGACAGGAAGGCCGCAGGCAAAACCTCGCGGTTGGTCGCGGTCGTCCAGCCCAAGGCACCAGATGGTTTCGTTTGGCTTCCCCCTGGGTTGGCATTAAAGGGAAATCGGCATGAGGGGCACAAAAGACAAGTATACATACAGGTATGGACAGATATGGACATGTAATGTACACACTTTATGTATTTATATAGATACACACACATACGCACACACACACATATATATATATATATATATATGCACAAATGTTGACGCCAGCATTTGCTAAACAACAATTTGGGGTGTATTGGCTTTCGCTCTCCATTTGACAAGGATTTTGAGCATCCTGGGCCCCATGAAACCATTGGATTGTCATGAGCAATACGGTTGCCTGTTTTTAAGCTGTCACAATCTTTTTGAGCAGGCTGCTTTTTAGATTCCATCCTTTCCCCGCTGGCAACACCTCGGCTTCTTCTTCTTACATTTACTAGGTTGCTTTCTGCGAAGCCCTGCAGAAAAGTTTTTAACTTTTAGTGGATTAATTGCAAACCCAGTTGGCAAAAAGTTAAAGTCAACTAACATCCCCTGGCAAAATGCGCCAAGGCTTATTCTTGTCTGCTTCTTCTAGCTCATCTTCTCACGGGCGTGTTTTCAGACACGGGGTGTGGGGACTCGCTCCATTGGTCACCTTCCCGGTGTGAAGTCTTCTAAGAAACATCGTGTGGGTGTGGGTGTCTGTTTTTGGTTTGGGGACCCCCAACAAATTTGTGGGGTACTCCTTTGAGAAAGTTCCTTTAAAACCCAGCCATGCTTGTTTCGAAGGTGCGCTTTGGTCAGTGTTCTCCTCCTTGCAAGCAATCTTGAAATCGCTTGAAAAGGCAAACCTAGGGACCGTGGGTGACTTAAACATCCTTCACTTCAAATCCCATCTTGGGGGCCTTCAGGGGAAAGACATGCTGGTGCGATAGGCAGGGAATGAGGGAAGGACCCCGATAACCCATCCCTTGTGGTTTCCCTTTAAGGGGACCACTGGGTTCATTCCATTTCTCATTCCCTATCGCACCAGCGAGTTGAGTCACAATCAAAACCTGGTATCAAAATGGCCTACCCAGAACCATGCAAATAATTAAGGAGGCGGATATCCGCAACGATTTTTGGCTGGGACTGCCCCTTACTAACCTTCATCCACCCGGTTTTTGAGCACATGGCTCAGGTGATACAACAACCATCCAATGTCAGCCGTAGGCACCGCCCGCCCGGCCAGCTGCTGCACGTCCTGCGTGCAGAGGCCCTGCAGGAAATGACCGCTCCCTGCACCTGGGCGTAGGCATCGCTCTCTCGGCTCGGTCTCCAATGAGACCTTGGGGGAGTTGGGCGCTCTTTACTTCCATCAAACGAAAGAATTTCAGAAAATATGCTTATTGGTAAAAATGCGTAACGTCTACGGAGAAAGTTAGGCCTCGTGCACTGGTAGAAACCCTCGGCACTTCAAATCAAAGTCAAGGACCAAGAGGCTTTCTGAATGAGAGATTCCAGAAAGGATTTCTTCCTTTTAAGGGGAGGAGCCAACACAAACAAACAAAAAACTAACTAGTTGTTCCTTCTCTTTCTTCTTTTTGTTGTAGGGGGGGGAGCCACACAAAACCAAGAACACATGTCTTCCATGTTGGTTTGTTCCCTTTCACCACCAAAAAAGAGAAAAGAAGAAGAAGGAAAAAAGGTTCACCCCCCCCGCCTTCCCCTCCCCCCTCCCCACCTGCCACCCGCAGCACCGCCCGGTCCGTGAGGGCCACGAGGCGCTTTGAGGCCATGGTCACGGGTGGATGGAGCGCGGCTCTCGGCTTTGGTTTTTGTTTTTCTTCTTTTTTCTCGGGTTTCTTGCATCTGTGTCTTGTTTGTTGGATTTTGTTGGATTTTGTCGGATTGTTTTGGATTCGTTGGGTTCGTTTTGGAGTTGTTGCTCTGTGTCTTGGCCTTTGTTTTCGGGATTCGGGTTTTCTGTTTCCTTGGATTTGCTGTTCTGTGTTCTTGGACGTTTTTGCCTTATGAGGTTGGCGCTTCATGTTTTAGGAGAATGCTGTGCATCACTGGCTGCCTTGAGAGAGTACAGCTTCGGCACCGGGCTTTTGGCTAAGCGCAGGAGGTCGCCATTGAACAGCCCACATTCACCTGCCGTTGCCCCCGCGGCAACCACTCCAAATTCACAACACTTTGCGCCCCGGCACCTTCATAGTTCGGTCGTCTCCTTCAATCGCGACAAATTCCCCAAAACAAAACATGCCCCCCCCCCCCAAAAAAAAAAAGACCTCCTCCGGCCAGTCAACAACAAACCCGACCCATCGCCCGCTTTTGGCGATCGTCGGAGCTTTCTGCAGGACAAAAGCGCGGGCTCACCTGCCGACGGATGCTCGGGGGGCGGGGGTCTCGCCTCGCTTGCCCCGGATGGGACCTGGAAATATATTTCCGGTGATCACCTTTTGGCACCTCGACGAAAAGCGGGTACCGAAAAGTGGGATTCGCTTTGAACAACTGAAACTGGCTACTGTTGTTGGATCATGCTTTTAGGCTTCTGTTCATTTTTAGCAGGGTTAGCACGGAGATCCTTCGAATTCCAAAGCGAAGTATTTGAGGCAGGGGCCACAGGCAACAGAAAACTTTATGCGGCGCCCATGAATCACGATGCCAGCTGCGTTCAAGTGGCGAGCGAAGCTTCCAACTTGGAATCATGCGCAATGCGTGTTTCCAAAAATACCGTGGACGGGCGAAAACCATTTCACACCACCCAAGAAACCCTGAAATTAATCGATTCCCCTGTAAATACCAACCAACACTGGATTCCAATGGTTTCCAAGTGGTGCGAAACGGATTTTGTCTACCCACAGTAGGGACCATCGCACGTTTCCGATTCAGCTGCCTTGTATCTTGCTGGTTTTTTCTCTCTGTTTTTTTTTTAGCAGCATCTAAGATCCAAGGGAGGGCACCCCAAGTTTCGTTGACACGCCACCCAGAGGCTCCGGCCCGAACATATTCACATCGTCAGAGGGCCTCCATCGGCGCCGCGCGACAAGACGCGGGATGGCCAGCGACACCACCCCACACTGATAGGATGAGGTTGATTCCAGTGATAGGTTGATTCTCTTTAAAAACGGGAATGCAAAGAAATAGTCTTAAGCCAGTGGTAGCCTGAAAAAATATTCAGACTGTGGGTGGGCAAAATCCGCTTCGCGCCACTTTGAAACCATGGTTGCAACCATTGTTCATTGGTGTTCACAGGGAATCATCATACCACGGTTTCTTAGGTGGTGCGAAATGGATTTCGCAGCCATCCACAGTACCACCAGGGAGAAAATGGAGTACAACCCATCTTGGACCACCAACTCGGATTTGCCTTGAAGGTGCGGAGCTGCGTTTCCCTTTGGGTAAAAAGGAAGACGGATGGCTGGGAAAGGGTTTGGAAGTTTCGGGCACCTCAAAAAGCCGCGCGGCGTCTAAAGCGAATGAAAACTCTGTCCCATTTGACGTTTTCCCAAGCCCTTCCGTCGCAACTTTGTGGGTCTTTGCTGACATTTGGACCCCCACCACATCTGAATCGAGACCACCATCTCAACTTCCCAACGGTTTGTTCCCCAAACCTCTAGAAAAGGAACACCGTGTACACGTGCTTCTCGTGTTTGTAAGTCCCATCCTGTCCCATCACACCTGAAGATATGGGGGGAGTGAACAGTACATCTAATCTCACTTGTGGGGTATTTGGGATCTTAGCTGCCGTGATAATAGATAGGGAACACTTTCTGAACGTCCATGGCCAGTTGGGGTGCTTAAAGGGGGGACACCTCATTCTTGTCATGTAACTAATTCTGAACTCCCCCAAAGGGTCCGATTCGGTGTCAAAGAGTGTTGCTTCTGAGGGAAGTCAAGGTAACAGGGGTAATTGCAGGGGTTCTTTTTGTGACTTACTGTGGATGGTTGCGAAATCCGTTTCGTACTCGTGGTGCGCTTTCTGGATTTCGCAACCATCCACAGAAGTGAAATCGATTCCCTTCAAAACATGTACAAATACTATCTGTTCAGCAAATGGAGGTTGGTTCCCCCTCCAGAAACCTCCCCAGCCCCAACAAATGTCACACTGCACCCAAACAAAAAAAGGGGGAGAAACCTTCATCGTTGTTTTTTTCCAAGAAGGTCACCTACGGTCATGACTCCTGGACATCCCCCCCGACTCTCCCCCCCTGTCCTCACCCCCCACCCCCCCACCCCCCGAGGTGCCGGGCTCCGCCGGGGGCGCAAAGACCCCGGCGTCAGCCAGGCTGGACATCACCGTGGCCGCCGCCGCGTCCAGCGCCGGCGGGCTCGCCTCGACGAGATACGAGTCGAGTCGCGTGCGTGTCCGCGCGAGTGGATGGGGGGATCGACCCCGTCGAAGGGGTGTTTATTTACAAACAAAAAAACTTTGGGATGAGTTTGCTTTAGAAGATAAAAGGAAGAAGAAAACAAACGAGTGGTGTATTGAGGCCAATAAAGAAGTGGGGCTTTCATTGAACCAAAAAAAGCAAGGCAGGTTGTGGTTTAGAAGAAGAAAGTGTTTAGTAGAAACCCAACCCAAAGCGGTTAGGATAAAAACCCGACCAAACAAAATAGGGGACACAAAGAAATGCGGAAATTCTGTTGGTTTGTGGTCTGTTCAAGAAACTCCACCCTCTCGGAAACACAAAAGGATTTGCTGCTGGGCGGCATATGTGGCGCAAATTCGGAGATGCATTCTCCTGGCGTCCTGCCCAAATCCACAAAATCGGCCCCTGATGCAACGAGAAGTGGGCAACCAACATGAAAATCCCGGCAAATGGAAGGTTGGCTTCCTTGAAACATCCAAACCGTCAAAGGGGGATAAGATCGACCCTGACTTGAGCCCGTCCTTCTTGATGAATCGGCTCGCACACTTCGGAAATCCGACAGTAAGGCCGCGGCCCAGCCGAACCTGCTGACCACCGCGGTGATGTTGTCACCTCGAGTTAGAGCGACCGCGAGCGCCGTGAGTCTCACAAAGACGACTGGATGTGACCTGAGTGTACATCCAACCTTGGTCTAAGGAGCCTAAATGGAGGCCCCTCAATTGTACCTTTTTCCTAGGACCCTGTCAAGTTCCATGTAGCTCGTTCTGAATGGTTTGAAGAGAGCCTTTTAGAGAGAGCCTCCCAGCATCACTTCCACCATCTATCTTTTTGGTAACCCTAACACAGACACGCACACACAGCTTCGAATGGTGCAATGGGACCTGCTTGCTACCTTCTGTGCAAGCTGCCTGCTTGTTAGAACCCTCTGTCCCCCTGTAGTAAACTTTTCTCAGACCCAGGTGCTGCAAAACCATAAGGTTGGGACCCTGGATCTGCCCCAGAATTCCTTCCCATCCTAATGATATGCTCAGAGTCTGGCCATGTACGCCCTAACATCAAGAACGACACACAACTTGCATTTGCCCAAGGTTCACCAATTACGGATCAGAATCTGACAAATACCCACTTGGGCCTGGATTCTTCTCAACAAAACACATGCCCTGCATCTTCCTTCCCCCCCACCCCCCCGCGCCCCACCCTCCCCCCCCCCACCCTTACCCCCAACCCCCCAACCCACCCCCGCCCGGTTCTTTGAGGACGGGCCGCGGCTGCCCTTGCGCAAGGCTGTGGAGACCACCTCTTTGGCGGCCCTCACCGCGTCCTTCCCCTGGCCCACCACCCGCCACACGATGTCCGCCACTTCCTCTCGCCGGCTTGGCGCGGTGCGGTTCGCAGGCTTGGCGCTCGCTGAGCCGAGCTGGGGTGCGCTGGGTGCGCCAAGGACTGAGGAACAAAGGGGCCAGTCACGTAGTTTGCCCGGGGGGCTAGGGGAGCGGGATAACTTGACCCCTCAAAAGCCTCAGTTGTCCACATGGATCTGACGGGGCTCCCAACAGAATAGCACAGCCAAATAGCGGAGCTTTGTTCGCCTCCTTTAAACAGCACCCTAAAACAGGGACTCAATCGGCCATTTATTGGTAAGGTCCCAGTGTCCCTGGGTGAAAAGTGGGGAATCAGAACACTTCCAAAGGGGCCAAAAACTACCCCCTATGAAATAAACTGGTTGGCTGATTAAAATGGGGTCAACAGTATAGTGAACAGCAAATCCCCAGGCGCCCAGCCGAATTCCGAAGCGTCCGTCGCCTGATCGCTGAGGACGTCGAAAATGCCATCGCTGCCGATGACGTAGGCCCAATCTTCAGGTACCTGCAAACATCCCGCAAACATCCCGCACCTTGGCCCAGGTGAACTAAGTGTCCTTGTCCCATCTCTCTGGTACACCCAGCAAAACCCCCCCCCCACCACCGGAGCGGGGGCACCAGGTCAACAATCTTCACGTCGGGGGTGACGATCACCTGACAGAAGGGAGAAAACAAAGCTCGGTTGCTTTCGGCTCCCCTGCTTATTTGTTTTAACTTTTAGTGGTTTAATACGGAAAAAACATTAGTTGGCAACAAGTTCAAGTCCTAACATCCCTTGGCAAAATGCACCAAAGAAAAGGCGGTCGCGCCAAAACCCTCCCCCTCTGAAGCCTCAAAACACGACGCCGGAACCAGCGCCTCCCGGGGTTTGGCATCAAAACACCCGCTACCAGCTGAGGCCTCTGCGATGGGATCTGGGTTTTTGAAGCTCGGATCCCCGAAACCTCTGCAAGTAGAAAGGAACCTCAGATCCCGAGAGCTCGCTTGGCGGCGAGGGGCGGCTTGCCCGGTGCAGCGCGGCTAACCCCCGAGAACGCGATCCGAACCACCGAGATCCAAACCACCAAGATCCGGCAAAGCCGGCAGAAAAAGCGCTTTGCAAGAAGACTTCCTGGGCCATGGGCCACATCATCTGCTGCGAGTCCTTCTTGCCCTGGCAGGCCACGAGTCTGCTTGCCAGCCTTTAAAGAAATGGAAGTTGCCTCACCCGCGGCTGGGGGGGCAGATCCCTATCCCTGGCACCCTGGCTCCTCAAATGGGAGGTCCACTGCTTCCCCTTTCACTGGCCAAGCAGCAGAAGGGGCGGGCAGATCCCTACGTTGGCACGTTGGCTCCTCAAAAGTTTGGGACGGCCTGAAGGGGATCCTGTGGGAGGTCCACTGTTTCCTCCCATCGAACCTCACACACAAAGGGGGAGGCGGGTCTGAAAGACATGTTCCTTGAAAAGGAACTCTTTGCTGGAGGGGGGGTATGGACTTTATTTATATATATATATATATATTGTGCACAGATGTATATGTACAAATCCCATATACATGTGCGCAACCCCCTCAGAAACCCCCGCAGCACCCCCTCCTTCTGCAGCTCTTTGGCTAGCTTGTTGTCTGGCCGCGGCCTTCAGGCTCCGACAACCAGCTCGCGACCCGGGGATGGCAAAACGGAGCGAATTGCTCTCTAAATGAGGGACCCCCCCCCAAGAAAAAAAGTTTCCCTGTGGCTTCCCCCCCTACCCCCCAGAAAAAACATGGGGGGCTTGGCTTTGGTGTCCACTTGGAGCCCAAAACGGATAAAAGGGGGCTCCGCTTCCTTTTCCACAACGATTCCTTTGACTTGCTGGATGGCGGGGAAGGGAATCACCCCCCCCCCCCCCTGTGATCCATCCCTTACACCTGATCGGGGATCCGCTGGATTCGTTACCAAAGCCTCTCAAATCACCCCCAGTGAAAACCAGCAACTTGAAAATGTCGTCTCTGCCAAAATACACTGAAACCCAAAAAGAATGTGCTAAGTGCCCCCCCCCCCCCCGCGCAAATCAATGAGGCCATGTTGGGATTCCTTCGAAAATGTATGGGTTGCTCTTTTTTTCAGGGGACCCCCCAAAACAGATTCGGGTGGTCTTTTTGGTTCCCTTCAAAAACGACCAAACAATGGGTACTCTAAAGGAAGACGGTTTCCTTCAAGGGAATTAATCCCCAAATGGTTCATTCACACGAGTCCGGACTCGGTCATTCCCGAGCTATCGCACCAGCAAGTCATTGGACGCGCAATCCTTTGGGGGTGTTGGAACTTCTGAAAACCTGTTTTAATGTCCACTTGATGTGGATGGGGCTGCAACCTACTGCTTTTGGCTGAAATTAGAGGCAAGATATTTTGTTCAAACTGGCTTTTCAGGCTATCTGCATGCTCAGGCGCCGGCCCCACGCGCCACACCTTGTGGGCGTCACGCACCACCAGGCCCCCGGCTTTCTCGATCTGCGCCATCGTTCGACGGGCAGAGATGGCGCACGCAACCCCCACCCCCCAAAGGCCCAACCCGAGAGCAGTTGTGTGTGCGTTTTTTCGGGCCACTGGTGGGCTGCCCCACCAGCACCTCCTCCCCATGCAAGTGAAGATCGATGAAGAACTGCCCAACAGGATTCCCTTCACCTCCCCTTCAAACATCACCCCAGCAAAGACAAGCTGGGGACTGGAATCGACGCCAGCCGTGAAGCTAAAGGAAACTCAATCCATATTGACCCTTGCTCCCGCAATAGCATCTGTTGAAGGGACGTGCCAGATCCATTTCCTCCTCAAGGCACCCTCTGTGAGTACGCCCCGGTAGCATCCTGCCCTGAAACCCTTCCGGAACGGAAGGGTTGCGGGTCAAGATAAAACCCCCAAAACCAGCAGGCTTTAAGTCCATGTTTCCGTTTACCGACCGGGCCCCGAATTTTTTAGGTTCACCCACCTTTTTTTTGAACCTCAGCCTTGGCTCACCCTATAGGCGGCCTTTTGGAGAAATAGACTGGCAAATGGAATCAACCCCATCTAAACCAGGGCCCTCCATTTTTGAAAAGCAAACCCACCCAAAAGGACACCTATACATTCCCCCAACCTCCCACCCAAAAACCGAGGCAGCGGCCCTGCGCTTCTCATCCACACCTCAGCCCACAGAATTCCGCCGCCGCGACACGGCACGGGCGGCGAACGAGGGCCCCGCGCTGCGGACGGTGGTCCTCGGAGAGCCGCAGACCTTGGCCTGCCGGGAGATGCCGGGGCCGGGGAAAATGTGACCTCGCTGGCTGGCTCTGTCATAGGCGTCCTTCTATCCCGGAAAACAGATGGCCCTGGTAGTTCCTTTTTCCGGAAAACAGATGGGTTTCCCTGGTAGATGACACCAGGTAAACCAGGAATCGCCCTTGCAACTTTTTTAAGAAAAGCACCCATGAGCTCCATGGAGTCCCGGAGCACCTGCTTCATGGAGCATGATGTGGTTTTTTTGGCTCATGTCCCACTTGAAACGGGAGAAACCGAAACAAAACGCAAACCCCCAATGGCCAGCTCTCGCGAAACTCCATCTCCGGTCCGACCGCGGTTCCGCAGAGACGCGGGCCCAACCGCGGCCTGCACCCCCAACCCCGCGAGGTCAGTCGGGTGGCAAACGGTCTTTCCTGCTTTGCTGCCCCATTTTCGTCTGATGCCCAGCGCTGGCAGTGTACACACTGCCGCCCTGGCTTGAGAAGCCCGACCCCCCCTCTCAAGCCGCAAAGGCATCGCGACGTTAAACGGAAAGAGCGCGAAGCTACTGTACCTCAAATTCACCATGGCCTGTCCCAAGTCTTTTCTCAGTTGCCCCCTTAGGAAGCCAGGAACACAAGGTGATCACCTTTTGGGCGCATGACTCAAAACATGGAGCAAAAAGGGAAAAACTCAAAGAATAGATCTTGTGAATTCGCCGTCGCTGTTGGGCAGGTGAGTTTATCGTTCCTCCCTTCTGAGAAGAGCTTGGGCGGCTCATGGCTTCCCCCTGGGCTCACGGCTTCTCCATGGCATCCTCTTCCCGGCGTCGCTTCAGGTCGCGCTTGAATTCCGCCAGGGACGTCCGCGGTTTGGCCGTTGCTACGGTGCCCACCTCCAGCAGGGCGGCCAAGTCCAGCACCCGGTGCGTCTCGCCATCCAGCCGGAAGATGGGGCCCTCGGGAGTGTCCTCTGGGAGTTGTTGGGGTGACCAATTCTCGGTTGCTTTCTGCTCCCCTGCTAAAAGTTTAACTTTTAGTAGTTTAAGGGAAAACCCGTCAAAGAATTTGTTGAAGAGGTCCTTTTGAACAACTTGTTTGTGCCTTTGCTTTGGATTTGGTACCCGTTTTGGGGGGGTGTTGAAAGGAAGGCCAACCAAGGAGCCACCACCAACAGAATCCGAAGTTCAGAGTAAGGCTGATGCGTCCCTTGGGGGTGAAGCGGCAGAAGCTGCGGAGAGCAGAAGCTGACAAAGAACTTCAGCCACTCATTCCAACTGTGATGCTACTGTGGATGGACGAAATCCATTTCGCACCACCTAAGAACCCGTGGAATGACGATTCCCCTGTAGATACCAACCAACAATGGTTTATGGTTTTCAAGTGGTGCAGGATTTCGTCCACCCACAGTATGAATGGGCTCGAACAAGTTGGCTCCGCTACACCCATGACTGTCATTTTGTGCCTTTGGAGCAAGACCTGCTTAGAGGCATCGCGAATTGTTTGGGCCAGCAGTCGGTCAAACTGATTGTGGAACACTACAACGGTACATATCACAAGTTGGATGCTTAGACTTGTACGCTCAGTGGTTGCAAGCAAGCAAGCAAGCAAGCAAGGCAAGGCAAGGCAAGGCAAGGCACGGCAGGGCAAAGCAAGTCAAGGGCATTTGCAGGTATGAAATTTGAGGGGATGAGGGATAGATGCTTCTATAGCACCAAACAAAGCTTGAAAGGTAGTATAAACACGACCTCCACACCCTGCAAAACCCCTCTCCTAAAGCTGCCCCTGACCATAGGTGTTCTTTTTGGAAATGATTGAACCACCAGGTAAACCAGGTCCTCCCAAAAAGAACACCTATGAGCGTGACTGGGTCCTCAATGGTGATGGTCTCCCTCTCAGTCTCGCCCTTCTCCTTCGCCTCTTTGGTCGTCTCCTGCGAAACCTTCGGTTGGGCGTAGCCGCCGCCCAACTTCTCAGCCGCTGACTTTCAGGGGGGCTGAGGAACCAAAACGGGCGAAGCACCTAAAAGCGGGGGGGGGGGGGAGGGGAGGGGGGAGGGGGAAACTTGGTGGTTCCCAGTAGGCACCGGTACAGATTGGTAGTTTAGTTCGCAGTTGGGGAGCGGCGTCACATTTGCCCTCTACAGAACCAGCGGGCAACCCCAAACCACCAACCCAAACACCAACTACAGAGTTACTGCAAGAAGAAGGCCCCCGCCAAAAAAAAAACCAATCCATGTTCGGTATTTAGATTTGTGGTTTGGGGACTTGGACCCCGGATTTCTGGCAGAGGGTAAATGGATCAGCGATGATTCCCTGCTAAAACCAGGGACACCCCCACATGAACAAACTCGGGTTGATTTTCCATGGGGTCAACATGAGAGGGAAGCTGACCAAGCAAGCCACATCAAAAACGGGAACCTCAGCTCAACTGCCCCCGGCATGGGCCCAAAGCAGCCTCCTTCGAAACCTCAGGCGGGCCCTCCGCGAGAAACTGCGAGAAGGACGGCCTCGCGTTTGGATGTTTCAGGGAGGCAAGCGGTCGATACGTCTTGACCTCAAGATAAAAACACCAAGGGGGGGGGGGTGTCATGGATTTCTGTCTAAATAAAAGAACCAGACGGTTCCTTTAAAACAAATGGACACACCCAAGATTCCCGAAATCCCCACACACAGGGCTTTGCGGTTGAGTGAACATGGAAATTCATAACTGTTTTGCCCCAGAAACATGTTTCTGACTGGGCCGGGCAGGGGTAGGACCCCGTCATGATTCGGGATTCGGTGGAAGGGATCAGCGTCCTTTTCCCAAAAGCCTGGTCCCCTTCGACCAAGGCAAACCAAACGCACATCGTTGGCACAAATGGGCACATCTGTCGAAACAAAAATTGAAAGCAGAGACCCTCAACATGATGGTTGTCCGTTTGGTGCCCCTGCAAAACCCACCCCGGCGCCCGCAAAAAGAGCGAGGCAGCTGGTGCCTCGCAGCCTTGCGGGGCGTCTCTTCCAGAAAGCTCTGGGAGACACGTCGCGCGCGCACGGGGGTCGCCATGGCTAGCCAGCTCGAGCCGTGGCGCAACCAAGCACCACGAATCAGGCGTGTCTCATGGGAATCGGGCCCTTGCCCAATTTCTGTTCGCCCATCCAACAGCGACTGCGCAGCCCTCCACCGAGGCCCCGAGGCCTGAGGTCCTACACCGACACCTCTGTCCACGTGGCTACCCACTGGGAATGAATTGGGGCAGGGGGCCGAAGGCTCTTAGCATGAATGCTTCTTTGAATGGCTTCTAGACAGGCTTGCGGACATACTGCATGTGTGTGCGCATGCATGTGAAGAGACACAACTTGACTTCCTGAGGCGATGGGCGGAGAAAAGTGCAATGTGCGTGTTTACAACTAAGTTGATCCTGCCAACAAGCCGAAACATTATCTAATGATGTTGCGGGTAATCGGGCTCTTTGTTTGCATCAGGCTAAGGGTACCCTCAACAAACAGGACACTTCAAGTGAACCCATTCCATGTTCAGGTCCCGTCCTGTTAGCTTCCCTTGAAACCCACCAAAAGAAAATGAAACACACTTAAGTCCCAAAAAACCACCCTAAGCCAATGGAACCCATCTATATCTCACCAATCCAACCAAAGCTTCCATTTGCTTCTTCCCCTCATGAAAAAGAAGAAACAATTTCCAGCTGTGAAATTGATCCCCTTTAAAACCAAACAGGGGGAACACTTGAAACAAAAAGAGCATATCTTCATTTCAGCAACTGAAACCACACATGGGTTTGTCCCAAAGAGTGACCCCCAAATTGGTTTCGATTCCCCCCCCCTCCCCTCAAAACAAAACAGAAAAGAAACGCCTCACCCGAAAAAAAAATGCAGCACGCCCCAAGCCCTCCCTCGATGTATTTCGGGCCACGTCTGAAGCTCCCCGGCGGCCCCGCAGCAGCACCGCGCGGCAGTCCCCGGCCCAGGCCACGAAGAGCTTCGCCACCTCGAAGTTCGAAGCGGGACGGCGGCGCGTCGGGAGGCGCCCGGGCGGTGTCCCAGAAAAAGCGATGTGTGGCTCGAAATTGGACCAGAACTGGAGTTGTGTCTAGGGGGTAGAGGCAGTTTCATGACCATGTCCACTTTGATTAGAAGCTTACTTAACAAGGTGATGTTCAATCCCACCCCAAGAAAGGGGAATACAAGCCAGGTGCCCCGACGGGACAATTATGTAGCATCCTAGAACCCATTTGGGTATGGCTTTTCTTGGAATCCCTGGAAATTCTGATGCCCGTGCTTAAGCCACATCGCTAGAACCAACAGTAGTGGGGCCTTGGCTGAACCTCACCACCCAAGGGTCTCGAATGTCATGCTCAAATTTGCCTAAACCGACCTTAGGCACCACTTTGAAGCCCGGGTGGAAACTATGGTTTGTTGGTATTTACAGGGTCCACAGAACCCCTCGTATTCACAAACGGGGGTTGAACAATCTGGGGTCAACATTGCTTGCTGGTGCGTTCGGCGGGGAATGAAAAATGGAATGACCCCAATAAACCCTCCAACTGGCGGCTCCGTTCAGGGAATCGGATTCATTCCCTCAAGCCAAGTGGGGAAAACGGGCCAAAATGTGCCAAAGAAGCTTGAGGGAATGCGAACCCTTAAACATTTACACCAGGGTCATTCAGGCCGCATCTCTAGAACGAACCCCCTCCCCCCCCCCCCCCCAACACAAAAGGATGCGCATTGTTTCCCAACATGTTGAAAAAGACACAAACGAAAAGGGGCTCCTCAAAAAAGAGACACCCAAGAGGGCGCAGGGGGCTGGGGCTTGACCCTTCAGCCTCCCAGGTCAAGCTGCTCTTACTCCACGCGCTTTCGCTTCCTGCTTTCGAGGTGCAGGATTTCCTGCATCCAGAGTATGATCCTAAGTTTTGGTGCTAAAAAACGCTATGGTTTCAACCATGATTCCTTAGGTGGTGCGTTTTAAAAGGATTTCGCATTCATCCACAGCTATCTCTTTCAGATGGTCCCACGCGACGCCGAGGCCGCTGCGCCGCCCACAGCTCGCGCCTGAAGTGGTGGCTTTACAACTCCCGTTGTCGAACCGGCGGTTCTCACCATGACAGCCCCGCCCTTCTTTCTCCGGAGGCAGGGGCACACAAGAGGCCTGATAAAAGGAGAAAATTATGTTTTGAAAGGCACCGGGCAGTCGAAAGGGTTTCGGCCTGGTGGGATTTGAGCCAACGACCGTCGGAATGCCGCCTCGCCCTCATTTGACGCCCCCCCTTTGCCTTTCTTGTGTGGCGGGCCCTCAACTTTCCATCAGGGCGGCTGCACGTTTTGGGGGGCTAGAGTGCAACCAAGGCCGTTGTCAGGCTGATGTGTCAAGCCACGTCCCAGGTTCCAAGAGCCAACTGAGGCCCTGGCCACAGTCCCCGGCTGTTTCTCTGGGGGCGCCTCCTCCTGCGCCGAAACTCAGTTGGCCGTTTCTTCAGCACGGAGAGCTTCGCTGCTTTTTGTTGGCACCTGCCATCCCTTCCTTCAAGGCTGTGTGGCAAAAAAAGGGAGGCCCCAAATTGGGCGGCCTTCCATTTGCCCCTTGAAGCCAACCCTAAAAAAATTGGCCTTGACAAAAATCCAGAGCCCAATGCGTATATATATATATATATATATGTGTGTGTGTGTTTGTGTGTATATGAGAGAGAGAGAGAGAGAGAGAGAGAGAGAGAGAGAGAGAGAGAGAGAAGAAAGAAAAAAAAAACCCTTTTTGGATTTCCCAACCTTAAAGAGGTACCCGGAACCATCAAACACAACCAAACAACTCCACCGGGGAGAAAAAACAAAAAAAAACAAAAACCTCCCGTCCGAGTGGCACGCGCCCGCTTGCGGCTCGCTCGATTCCCCTCGTCTCCTTTGGCTTGGGCCACAAGGCCGCGCAGCCCACCGGGGCTTTGGCCTGGCGCCGGACCCAAAGCGCGCGCGTCGGTGGGCAGTTTCCTTTGGAAGGACCACAGGGGTGTCCCTGTCACATTGGCCTCCCCGTGTATAAAACAAAGCCCCAAAAGGGACTCTCCTTTTTGTCCTCTGACGTTGGTTGCCCTGTATGTAACTCTCTTGTTTTCCGAGGCGCTAGAAAGGAGACACACGCCCATCGACTTTTGGCGCATGGCGACGATGGTTTGAACTCTCAGACCTGGGTCAAAGGTCTGAGAACGCCATTCTTCGGGGCGCGGAGATAAAAGAGGCGATCACCTTTTTGGGACCTTTACTAGAAATCGGGAAACCAACAAGGGCGGAACCAGAAGCTTAGATCTGGTCGATCCGCTTTGGGCTGAGCGAGTTGTAATCCAAGCTCAGGGCCAAAGGCACAAGACACTCAAAAGGGTGGCTCGTCTGTTCGCAAGAAACCCACAAAGCGGTGGTCTTCCTTCTGGGTTTCCCGTTGCAAACAACAAAACAACGAACAGGCACCCATCGAGCAAGATGGACCCCCCAAAACAGAAAAAAAAAAAAGTTGACCCCGGATGAATCAACCCGGTGCATTCATCCGCGGATCGTGACAGCGGCAAGCATGCCGCGATCCGCTTTCAAAGTTACACTGTGCAATGTTGGTCCTACTGTGGGTGGACAAAATCCAATTCGCACCACCTAAGATGCCCTCGAATGACGATTCCCCCGTAAATACCAATAAACCATGGTTTCCCGTGGTTTCCAAGTGGTGCAGGATTTCGTCCATCCACAGTATCGTGAGGAAACTTTAGGTTGAGTTGACCTTCATACCCACCCAGAATGCAAAGTATTTTTTGGACCCCTTTCACAAAACGCCCAACCCGAGCGATAACAACGTGCACTCTCTCAGTTAACCAGACGAATCAACCTACCGAATCCAAAAAGTCCCTCCCAAAAAAAGTGAAGCACCTCCAAAGGTTGGGATGAACCAACATTGGTGGTTGCGACAAAGAAACATGCTTGAAAAGTCAAATGCCCAGATTGGTTCATCAGCTTCTTGGCAAAGCCCGTAGGAAACAACCCTGAAAAACCAAGGGCTTCAGCGTCGACGCGCCTCGAGCGGGACATTGAATCCATGGGAGACCAACGTCACGATGCCTCAGCCGCGAAGAAATGCGACGCATCTCTCTGGGATGGACACATTTGTCTAAACATAAAAGCTAGTTAAACAAAAAAACATGATAGACCTGATGGAGAAAATCTGCACCACTGGAATGGATAAAACCCGATAAATACTGTCTACCAACTGGTGCAAGACCTTGCCCACCCACAGTATGTGTCTAAGATCAGTGAAAAGAACAGCTTCTATTGCAGTACGTTTTCCGAACCTGATAAATGGATGGCTTGCTTTGGGTTTCCTTGAAACACCAGGAATCTTGGTCGCTTTCTGCTCCCCTGCCAAAAGTTCAACTTTTAGTGGTTTGATGGAAACCCATTAGTTGGCAAAAAGTTAAAGTCCTAACATCCAAGCAAAATGCACCAAAGGGATGGAAGCGGGCGCGGTGTTGGAAAACTGCCCTGAAAAGACCCGGCGTCTGCGGTAGGAAAATGGGTGTGCCTTGTTGCAAACAGCGTGCCAGGGTTGCGCACCCACATGGGTGGCTCGTCGGTTTTGGTGCTATCCCTTTTTGGTGGGTTTGAAGGGAAACCAAAGGAAAACCGAAGCCATTTTGTGGGGGCCGAGCAAAGGGCACAACATCTTCCAACACCTTCAAACATATCTACGCCAGGAAAGTAAATGGCACCATACCACTTTCGGCCACGGCAAGCCGAAGGTGGAAAATCAGGGTGACCCTCGGACCAATGAAAAATGCGACAAGGTTCAGCTTCCCTCAAGTTCGTTTGGATTGCTGGTTTGGTGGTTGGGGGTAGTGTCCCGTCCAACCTCTACAAGAACCAAGGGTTCAATGAAAGCTAATATCAGTCCCCCACTTCATGGTGATTTGGATTCGTGGTTTAGTGGTCTTCCGGGGTGGATTCCCACTTACACTCTGCAAGAACCAGGGGTTTCAAATCCAAATCCAAATCCACCAAACACACCAAACCACCAACTAAGGGGCTTACCCGATTTAAAACTGGGGGCCTCAAATCCAAATCCAAGCCAATTGGGGGGGTTGCCGGACTTTGAAAAAGAAAACCAACCTCTGCCTCCAAGAAAAAGAAATACCAGTAAATACCAGGCCCACGCGCCAGGCTCGGAGGCTCGGGGCCCGTGGGGCCGAGTTTGGCGGAAAAAAAAATGGGGCGCCGAGGCTTTGGCCAGTGGACCCCTCTTGGAGATCTTTCTTCTTCGCCGCCTGCAGCCAAGCCTCGGGCTCGAACAAAACGTTCCAACATGGGTTGGATCGGCGATCGGCGGCTGGCCCAGCCGGTTTTTCCGCACTGGTCTTCGCGGCTTGCCAAGTGCGCTGAGAACCGCGGGGCTTAGAGAAGGGGGGGCGGATTGAAAAGCAAGTCCAAATACTCCCCAAAGGGAAGCCACTAGAAAGAAAACCGGGGTTCCTTGCGAAACCCAAAAGATTGAGGATTACCTTTGAACTGCCCAGCTTTTCTACTGGTGTGGGTTCGTTCATCGACTTGGGGGACCAATTTTTGCAAGGGCTTCATTTAATTTCCCCTGCCACTCAAAGAAGACGCCCCGAAATGGAACACTATGGACGCCGCTAGGCCCCTGGCCCTGTCGGTGGCCTGACGCGCCGAAAATTGAAGCCAAAGGCGCTCGAAAGTGTCTGAGCCCTCGAAGGCGTCTTGGTAACATTGAAAAAAGGAGCGGCTCTGACATGTTCGCTTGGAGTAGGGAGGATCAGGTCCAAAGGGATATGGGCTAGGGATATAGGTCCAAAGTTCTGGCTCATGAACGAGGGATAGGATACCCATTCTGAGGATCAGCCCAAGTAAGAACAAAGAAACACAGCCGCACCCCGAAAGAGTCCGAGACAGGTCCCCACGCTCTGAAGAGACACGTGTCAAAAGTGGATCCCCCAGAAAAGATGTATGTATTCGTTTTATGGGTAGCCCCCCTGTTTTTTGGCGCCGGCAAACCGAAGCCAAAAGGAACACCGGGGGGTGCCGTTCTGTGGGGGGGTGCCTACTTCGTCCGCGGATTGGGACCATGAAAACCGAAGGAGGAAAATGGAGATTTCCGGTGGTCCTCCCAACAAGCATGAAGTCAGGAACGCAGGAAGTGACCCAATTGAAAAAGAAAAAAGAAGAAACAAAACATTTGGGCTTCCTTTGGGGGAATCCCCTTTCGGGTTCCTTAGTTGACGTTGGAAGGGGAGCAAACATTGTCGAGCTTTTGCAGTTCAGTGGGTGGATTTCAAAACCACTCAACCACAACTTACGCAACAATAGAAAAGATGCTTCCCAACAACAATAGAAAAGATGCTTCCCAACAACCATGACACACCCAGAGACCAGCGAAGCTCCTCTTCGTTCCTTCCCCACCCTGCATGCCAAATGACTCCCCCTTCCGCCTCAAAGGCCTCCACCAAGGCTTCGGCGATCAGCGCGGCCTGGCGTCGAAGCCACCAAACCCCCGCGCGCCCAAGGCGTCGGGGCGTTGCACACGAGAAAACAGGGCGAGAAGCCTCCATTTGCCTTTAGGGCCTGGCACTTTTTGGCATTTCCAAGCTTGGGGCGCAAAAAAATATATGCCCAGTTTCCTTTAAAAAACCATCAGGGGGAACAAATAACAAATCTTCTTAAGCAAATGGTGAGAGATATTTGCCCCCTTGAAAGAACATCGTAAGGCTTTCTGCAAAGCTTGAGACAACACTTGAAGGATGACCCCAAAAGTGGGACAGTCTATGGTTTACAAGGACCCCTGTGCATGGAAAATAAAAAACTTAACCACCTAGCATGGATGAACCCCTATAACAACTGGAAGAGGAAAAACCAAAAACAAAACAAAAAACTAGCAAGTGGTGGAGGTGTCTATAAATCCACACCGCCGGGTTGCGCCAAAAAGATCGCCTCCTTCTCCGCTGACAGCTTCACCAGGCTCCCCTCTCCTGGGCTGCCAAGCGCAACCAAGCCACAGGCTGAGGTG